AAAATGGTTGTTGGAGCAAAAAATCGCGCATGTTTTTTAAAGTAAGATAAAGTAATTTTAACTCAAAACTGCCAAAAGTGAGTTACGATGTTTTTCCTTGCAGGTGTCGATATAAACGCGAAAATTGTATGAATATTATGTTTGATCTTGGCTGCTTACAAGGTTTTGACTTATTAACAGTTATGTTTTGATTAGTCACATTAATTATACAATTAATGAATAGTAAATGATGAAAACAACAATTGGGTCATTCTACAAAAATATGTCAACTCTTAGTCCGCGCCACATTTCACATGGAATATTTGTTAATATTTTATTCCAAAATTGTTAAATAACAGCTCGCAATGTGTTTTATTCATCACCCATTTATATTTTTTAAAACTATTTTTAAAACATCTTAAATTCCTTTTAAATGACCCAAAACGTCATTTCCTAGGCATGTCCGTACTCCAAAAGTTTGTGTTTTGGAACCCATATTTATAGAAACATCAACTTGATCCTTTGTTTTAATTAACGAATAATCTATTTAATCGTATATTACACCCAATTCTTTTAATATCTTGCGGTTTCAATAAACAATAATTTGATTTTCTTAAGTTGAAAAAGAGTCCACAGCTTTTAGCGTCATTCCCTCGCCACGCACTGATTTTATAATTTTGCGCTTTAATATGTATTTAGAGTGAATGACATTTAGTTGAGTTTAAACTACGATACAAAGTTATCCTCAGACCATACTGGCTTTGCGGCAGCCGTTTTTTGAATTAGTGCAAACGTGCCAGTTGTTGCGGAAACATGTGTTGATCCAGTCACTTCGTCAGTCCCTAGTTGAGTAGCTTTATTGATTACAATAGGAAATTGTATATAATTTTATAGTATTTACGTGTGGTTTTTCGGCTGTTTTCGGCACATCGTATTAAGCATTTTATAATTTAAAGTTANCGCACTCTCTCAGACTACAACATCCAAAAGGAATCAACACTTCACTTGGTATTGCGTCTGCGTGGTGGTATGCAGATTTTCGTGAAGACCTTGACTGGCAAGACCATCACACTAGAGGTTGAGCCCTCTGATACAATCGAAAATGTCAAAGCCAAGATACAGGACAAAGAGGGTATCCCCCCAGACCAGCAGCGATTGATCTTCGCCGGAAAACAATTGGAAGATGGACGCACTCTCTCAGACTACAACATCCAAAAGGAATCCACTCTTCATTTGGTATTGCGTCTGCGTGGTGGTATGCAGATTTTCGTGAAGACCCTGACTGGCAAGACTATCACTCTTGAGGTTGAGCCTTCAGACACAATCGAAAATGTTAAGGCTAAAATCCAGGACAAAGAGGGTATCCCGCCCGATCAGCAGCGATTGATCTTCGCAGGCAAACAGCTGGAAGATGGACGCACTCTCTCAGACTACAATATCCAAAAGGAATCCACTCTGCACTTGGTATTGCGTCTGCGTGGTGGTATGCAGATTTTCGTAAAAACCCTGACTGGCAAAACCATCACATTAGAAGTTGAGGCTTCCGACACAATTGAGAATGTTAAGGCGAAAATCCAGGACAAAGAGGGTATCCCCCCAGACCAGCAGCGATTGATCTTCGCCGGCAAACAACTAGAGGATGGTCGCACACTCTCTGACTATAACATCCAAAAGGAATCCACTCTTCACTTGGTATTGCGTCTTCGTGGTGGCATGCAGATTTTCGTAAAGACCCTGACTGGTAAAACCATCACATTAGAAGTTGAGCCTTCCGACACAATTGAGAATGTTAAGGCGAAAATCCAGGACAAAGAGGGTATCCCCCCAGACCAGCAGCGATTGATCTTCGCCGGCAAACAACTGGAAGATGGACGCACACTCTCAGACTACAATATTCAGAAGGAGTCTACACTTCATCTTGTACTCAGACTTCGGGGAGGGATTTAACATGTATATTCTGTAAGCCTTTTTCTCATTCCTGTAATACATAAAGGGCAAATAAAACAGCTTTGATTCTCTGAATAAATCTTTTATTTCTATTATTAACTTAGGTGTAGGTAGGTAACAACAACACATGATACTAACTTTACACTGTAAAACTCATTTTATTTTTGCAAGTAGCCATAAAGTAATAATGTGAAACCTAGTAGCCAAACAACACAAACACAAGTATTTTATATACCTATAGGTAGTTTCGGGAAACGCACCGTGTAACGTCCCGTCCACCCAATGTGGACCGACGCCCTCATGTCCGCTGGCCGCTACCAACATGATTCAATAAACATTTATTTATGACTATAGCTATGATAGTTTCCCGCACTAGCTTCTTGATCTGTGTGATAACAGTCCCCTCTAAAATGAGTATACAGGTTGTTTGGCGGAAGGTTAGACAAACTTCGTGGGTGTTTTTAAGATCTGGCAATCCATTATCACCTTTAATTTTTTTTTTATCGAATTCAAAGTTGAATTTTTTATCGTGGTTTGTGCTTTTGTTAAACTTTGGCGGCTCGTAACTAATAGCTATCATTATTATCTGGACCTAAAATTGATTTTATTTGATTAAAGACATATTCAATATTAATATCAAATAATGAAATCGGTTGAAAACAAGCGAGAAAAAAAATGAAAGCAGTTTTCAGTAAAATTTCGGAAAAAATGAAATAAAAACAAAAAAATATATATCAATAAAAAAAAGTAGCTCACTTAGGGTCAAATGGGCGAACTTATATTCTTAAAATGACCCTATCTATACACCCACGAAGTTAACCTTCCGCCAAACACCCTGTAGAGTTAGAAGAACTTCTGTTACAAGTAAATGCTCTAGTCGTAGTCTACACTCATCTTTAATGCAAACGCACGAAAAGGCCTCATAATTGAAGCGTAGTTTCAAGCGTCCACGAGCGCTCCAGTCGATGACACAGTTTCATCATCCTATTAATAGCTGTTGATGAGCACCTTCATGCTGTATAACGTAGAGCTGGCTAGCTGGAACCGCTATGATAGAACTGTCATTTATATTCAAATGTGATGTTGTCTTTAGCTGTGTAATGGCTGTGCCGAACTCTCTATTGTAAATATTCTACGTGTGCTTTGATACCAATATATTATATATATATCAATAATTATGTTAATCATAATTATTATCCTCTGGTCTACCAGCAAGTTTTTGGGCGGAAGCTATTGCAACCGCGTGTTATTTGCGTAACAGATGTCCGACTAGCAGCTTGAATGGAGAAATTCCATATGAAAAATTGTTTAATAAACCTGTAAATATTGGTTATTTCAGAACATTCGGTGCGAAAGTTCATGTTTTGGAAAAGGAGCCAGGAAAGGATAAGTTCGCAGCACGAAGTTCTCCCGGCATTTTTGTGGGCTACCCGGCTGAATCTGGTGGCTATAGGGTGTGGATATCCGAGAAAAGAAAAATAGTGGTGTCAAGAGACGTCAAGTTTCAGGAAGATAAGAAAACTGAAAGTGAAGTTTTGAAAGAACCATCTATTGAGCTGCAATGTGAACAAGATAGTGTTGATAAAAGGAAGACTATCGAGTTTGAATTGTCCAACAGACAATGTAGTTCACACTTTAGTGATCAACCTTCGAATATTCAAGTTCCAATAGATCGATCTCAAGATGTACCGTTCAGAAACGAACTAAACACAGAAGATACGGAAGTTACTAGTACTACTGATAGAAATGAGACATTTGACTGGAATATCACTTTGAAAAGAGGCCCTGGAAGACCTAGGATGGAGGAAAGTCTTTTCCGTTCCGAGAACTCATAGGGGCACTTATGTTCTTGAGCGTAGCGACTAGACCAGATATCGCGAACGCGACGGCAAAACTCGCACAATTTTCAGAGAATCCTCAGGAAACTCATTGGAGAGCTGCAAAGCGGATCCTTAGGTACCTAAAAGGTACGATTACTCAGGGTTTAACATTTAAACCGATGGGTAAGTGCATTCAAGGTTATGCGGATGCAGATTGGGGTAACTGTGAAACAGATAGACGATCTTTTACCGGCTATGTTTTCATTTTAGGCGGAGCAGGTATCTCATGGGCATCACAAAAGCAACGCATCGTTGCGACGTCGACTTGTGAGGCTGAATTTGTAAGTTTAGCGGAAGCTATGAAAGAAGCAGTGTATTTGAATGGCTTACTGAAGGAACTTGGTCTTCACCATTGGTCTAAGGTAAGCATGCATGCTGATAACTTGGCTGCTATCTGTCTAGCTGAAGATCACGGTGTTTATCACGCGAAAAGTAAGCACATCGACATTAGGCATTTCTTTATAAGGGATGTGCTGCGTGACAATAAGTCGATAACTTTAGAACATTTGGCAACTGAAAATATGCTGGCAGATATTTTCACCAAACCTTTGCCTCGTATAAGGCATCACTTGCTGAGTGAAGGGTTAGGGTTGCGCGTACTCTAGTGCCTTGTATAAAGCATGAGTTGAGGGGGTGTGTTGATGAGCACCTTCATGCTGTATAACGTAGAGCTGGCTAGCTGGAACCGCTATGATAGAACTGTCATTTATATTCAAATGTGATGTTGTCTTTAGCTGTGTAATGGCTGTGCCGAACTCTCTATTGTAAATATTCTACGTGTGCTTTGATACCAATATATTTATTATGTTACTACCAACCACTGTGTTTATTGCTCTGTAGCGGACTTAATATATCCCTAACAATAGCTACGAGATGTGTGTATTGTTGAATACTGAGGCGTATATCGTTGTTATTGCCTACGTGGAGACAGTATGATATTGAGATTTAGGCTAGGCATCAATCTTGATGAATCATTAGAAGAAACTGATGTAGGTTAATAACAACTTCGTTTGTTTGTTATTTTTATGTTTTTCACACCGATTGTTTGCCGACGCCGATGTTTGTGTTTAAAATATACAGGGTGTTTGGTAAATGGGTATATGAGCCGACACTAGCCCATGTTAACATGGGCAAATAAATGGTATGGTGGAGTCAGAAAATTGATATCTTAAATTTAATTATTTTAATTTTCATATAAATCGGATTTTATAAAATTTATTTTGAATGAAAATTAAAAAAAATGAAATGATGATATCAATTTCCTGACTTCACCATACCATTTATATGCCCATGTTAACATGGGCTAGTGTCGGCTCATATACCCATTTACCAAACACCCTGTATAAGCAACAAAATCTTTTGATAATTTCTAAATAGAATGCAGTTATGTGTAGGTAGGTACTGATATCAATTCGTAAACAAGATGAGAAAAATAAAGCAGAAGATTATTTTCTAAATAGAATATAGGTCACGCGTAGGTAGGCTGATAATTTAGAAACAAAATGGGAAATGATTTAAACCATCACGTAGGTAAATAAAATAAACGCACGTAAAATCAAACAATTTATTCGAAATAAGGTCCAGTTCTTAGTCTAAATTTGACTTGTGCCTTGAATCACCGTTTTCATACTCGGAGGTTTCTGTTTTGGTAGTCTGTAACAAAATAAATTTTGTAAATACATATAACAAATAACAATGTAACTGACGACTATACATGTTGGACGAATTTTGCATTTAAGTATCATGGTACAAGCTTTCCGCCCGCGGCTTCGTCCGCTTGAAATTTTGTCTTCTGTCACAGAAAATCTTTATCGCGCATCTCCCTGTTTCAAAAACCGGGATAAAAACTATCCTATGTCCTTTCCGTGACTCAAACTCTATGCCAAATTTAATCAAAATCTGTTCAATGGTTTAGGTTTAGACAAGAGTTACTCTCGCATTTATAATATTAGTAGGGATAAATAGATGATGTTGTTACCTAGTGTGTATAATTTTCCGTGGAGACGAAGGGTGCACGAGGTCGTGTTGTCTCTCCCACTCGAGGTACTTCTGGTGTTGGCGTTGCCTTCTGCGGTCTACGTAACTTATCTGCAGTGATACACAAAATATAAAAATAACAGTCGACTGCACATCACACACATTTTTGTTGCAAGTGCGTAATAAACTAATGTAATGCGTAAACACTGAAGTCTAATCTCGTTATAATAAAGGCTATTTTGCAACAAATACGTATAGCCTGATGTGCTATCGACTTTAGATATATTTCGATACGACTGATTTGGTTGAATGACGCCTGGGCTGCATTAAGACGTAATAATACTGTCATAGAAGTCAACCGAGCTTTAGTATCTTACCACGCAACTGGCGGGAATCCAAACGAAGGCAGTGACCAGCACGACTACGCCGACGATATTGTCCCGCAGGAACCCTAACACGTTATTGATGTTGATATCCTCGATGATGTCCCAGAAACGTTCCACCACATCCTGGATAGTCTTCTCGCAGACCCCCTGAAAATTAATAATGTAGTGGTAATATTCACGCAGCGGCTAACTAATAAAAGTCTGCGCCAATAAAGTGAAGCAATATTTAAAAATAAACGCTTATTACAAAAAGTTTAACGCTCGTTCAACACTTGTTTAAATTATCACCAATGTTTACAGTTTCTTTAAAGTCCTTAAGCTACCTTTCATCATTGGCTTAGACAGGTGTCGTGGGTGGTATTGAAATACGTAGTCGCATTTAATAAAGAAATAATACATTAGCTTTAATTTGTTTGTAAGATTGCCAGTGTCTATTGACGCAGACCATAAAAGAGGATATTAATCTAGCTGACCTTGTTGCAAAATCCTTGAATGCAAGGCGTGCCATCCGGCAGTATGTCGTTGTGGGCCACCGGGAAACACGTCTTGTTTAGACTTTTGCGGCAACAACGCTTGCACGCGTCCGCCACTGAGAACAACAAACATGGCGTAAATTATGTGTCACAAATTACGTCCTGTTATTTTTAAAACATTTTATTTATTACCAAAACAAAAAGAACAAACATGTTTAGATTTTGTTAACAAAATAATGGTTGGTTCCCTTTGAAAAATTTCAGCCTCTTCCAATGGCCTCTTCAAGTTTTATTTACGTCTATATTAAGTTTCGAACAACATGTTGTTATCTTCTTCTGCCGTGCCTTTTCCCATTTATTTGGAGGCGGCGTTTTCACCAAGACAATCTTTCCTGGGTTGTCTGGTCATTGATTTAAGCCTCAATAATGATACAGGGATTTACATCTATTCTAATGTTATTTATAAAGAAGAAAGATTTGATTTTTGCATTGAATAGGCTCCGAAAGTACTGGACCGATTTGAAAAATTATTTCACCATTAAATTAGAATCCAACATCCCTAATGAACATAGGCGATAGAATATTTACAAAAAAGTTATGGATCTGTATAAATGAGATATACCCCGCCGTCGACACTAATTGACTGGGTGGTATGAAGTTCGCTGGGCTGGCCCAACTATGACTAGCTGGCTAGTCAAGAAATATATTTGTAAATGCATTACCGATGTCGCACATGCAGCTGTGCATGCCCTGCGTCTCGCAGTAGGGCACGCACGTGCCGTTGCGGCAGCGCCCGCGTTCTGCGCACTCGTGCTCGTCCGCGATCGCCGGCGCCTGTGGACACCACACAAAGTTAACCCTTAGCAACAAGAACAACCTTAATTTCGAACTCCTCCTAGTTTCTTCTGATTAATTTCGATGCGGGCCCAATGACAGTTTAACTTTCCCCCGGGACAAACTTGACCTTCATTGGTTGGGTTTATATGGCGGTCAAGCTGTAGATCCTGGCTAAACAGGAGTTGCAGTGGTGGGAACGAGAGGTGGGAAAATAAGAACAAGGTTTACCAAAGTAAAGGAGCTAGGGCGCCATCGTTTCAGCCAAATGACTTAATATTCCACTGCTGGACAAAGGCCCAGGGCCGGACTGTGAGTTTGGGGCCCTGGGCTAATACTACTTAGGGGCCCAACTAATTACTTAAAGTATAGAAAAAAATTAGACAGTTAAATATTATTTTTCACTTGACTTTAGCTGGGGGCCGCTTGAATCCACGGGGCCTTGGGCTGAAGCCCAAAAAGTTATATGGTAGATCCGGCCCTGCAAAGACCTTTTCCAAGGATTTCCAAGTACTTCCCGGAGGATGTCATATGGGCAGTAAATAGGAGCGCCGCGAAATGCCCAAACTAAAAAATAGGTAAATCTCGAATGTTCCTATCAGTATCAATTTGTATCGTCGCCGTAAAGATATACAAAGAACCTGTAAAAATTGCGCCATGTACTGAAAAAGCTTTGGGAATTCATACTAAGAAATGTTGGAGATTGTTATGAAAACGATGATACCAGATACCATTAATACTTCATGATTCATTCAAGTTTCAGTACTAAAATCTAGAAGCTATAATGAATTTTCACTCTAGTCACAAACAAGTGTGAGTCATAATAATAACTTCCATTGTGCAATAATTTTATCAGTAAATAACTTTGATATGGAATGAATGACTAATAAGTACAGTAAGATAATTATAATGGAGTTTTCGAGAAAGAAGAACGGTCATCTGTGACCCAGGCCCGACAGAAACGAGACATACCTCAGTTTTTTTGTCATGTCTTAATTAGTTAAATTATATATTTTTTATTTTCGAAATCTATGTATAACACCAAAATATTACCCTTTGTTTTTGTTTAGGCGTTATACAAAAACTAATACAAAATGCCTATTTATCACCAAAATTGGTAAATGTATGTACCTAAATGTCTATTACAGCTGCTATGGAATGTATCTAGGTGACCTGGAGATACAGCCGGATTATACAGGGTGGAAAAAATAATAAGTTACAAAATCCAAAAATTCTATGTTACCAGCTTCCATAATCTGTACCCTATTAATGGTACTATTTGAAAGAGCTCGTGAAGCACTTTCAGAATCAGTAACTAGTTTTTCGATATCTTGTATAGTTTAGAAATAATCGAGTGAGATCATTTATCGTTCCATATGTATAACCACCCTGTATAATCCGGCTGTATCTCCAGGTCACCTGGATACATTCCATAGAAGCTGTAATAGACATTTAGATACATACATTTACCAATTTTGGTGATAAATAAGCATTTTGTATTAGTTTTTGTATAACGCCTAAACAAAAACAAAGGGTAATATTTTGGTGTTATACATAGATTTCGAATATAAAAAATATATAATTTAACTAATTAAGACATGACAAAAAAACTAAGGTATGTCTCGTTTCTGTCGGGTCTGGGTTTTTTTTTGTATGGGGCGTGACCGTTCTTCTTTCTAATCTTCTATTTCTAGAACATGTTACCATCATAATCGATTATCTATTTTGTTTACCTACTCTCGAAATGTAAGGTAAAAATACGCGTAACATAAACATGCCTTCAGAAATTTGGTAATATAGGCAGTTTTTAACGCCTAGATGAACGAGTTAGGTTACACCCCCACACTACCGTCTATCGAAGGTCGTCGTCTCGTCAGCGCAGCAAGACGCCGCGACGTAAATGCTGAGCTTAGTGAGGTGTGGATGTTACGTTATACTTATCGTAACGACACTCGAAAGGCACTAGTGTGGGGGGGGGGTCCTTTATGATGAATATACCGGAACCGGTGTGATCTAGACAGTTTCACTGAAGGGAAGTCGAACCCTAACTTCGAACTCCTATGTTCTTCTGATTAATTTCGTTGCGGGTCTAATGACAGTATAACTTTCCCCCGGGACAAACTTTCCCTTTTATTGGCGGTCAAGTTGTAGATCCTGGCTACAAAGTACACAGGAGTTGCAGCGGTGGGAACGAGAGGTGAGAATAGGTGGGAAGTTTCTTAACGAGGTGAGTGAGTACCTTGGGGCAGTCTGCGGAGGCGCCGTTGCAGGTGGCCTCGCCCTCGCAGGCGGAGTGCGCGGCCTCGCGGCACACCACGCCCGGCGGCGCGAACACGCAGCCCGCGCAGCAAGGCGAGTTCTTGTCGCTGGCAAACACATAAAAATTGTAAAGCTTACCACCAAAACAGGAGTGACTACTACGACTCTAAAGTGTCGCGACGAAGAAGAAGAATAATATTAAGAAGATGAGTATTTCTTCCAAGTCGAGTAATAAGTATAAAAAAATGTAGAGGGCAAATGCAAGAAACACAATTTTTAACTTTATACCTTTGCTTGGACTAGTTAGGAGGTAAAAAGTCAAAGTTTCCGCCGGCTCAAGGGCTCCGGGCGGGTCCAACTAGTCCAAACAAAGGTACGATGTCAAAAATTGTAGGCATTTCTCTTCTTTCCTTGACTGCCCTATTGAGCACAAAAACTGAATCTTATACCATCAGATTGTTTAGAAGAAAATCATTAGACCGAACAATAAAAGGCGCGTGGGCGACAATGGACCGCATATTTCTATCACAAACACCCAATTTACCTGCAAACGGCGCCTTGGTTTTTCCTCAGTTTGCAGTTTTTATCGCAGCACATATCATTGTCTTCCGTACCTAAAAAAAACAAGAAGTAAAGTAACTAAAAAGTCGCCAGGGTTAAAGTCACATACTTTACTAACTTTGAGAATAAGGTATCACCTAAGGTAAAGGTTACCTAATAATCCAGCGTCACACTCCTCGCCACCTTCCACTCGTAGGTTGCCGCAGAAGCTTTCTTCGGGCTCGGAGAAGCATCGCCCGGACTTTGCTTGAAGCACCTTGCGAATCGATCGCAAGCTGCATGGGGAAAACCGCTGCGAACAATTTAAAAGTATTATTTATTTGTTTCTGGAAAACGTTATAATAAGTATGTTATTGTTTAAAATTTAAATGTTGGATTGGACTTGCCCTACAAAATCTTACTATAACATATTATAACCCAAACTGATATTGTGTTGTATACCTACTTAATAAATAAGATACTATTTTCTGGTAGAACAAGCCCTGTGGTATTTATGTTTCTTTGCACGTTAGGCTAGTGGGCTAGAGGCTAATGGGCATTTATTACCAGTCAACCATTGGTCAAGCAGAGAAAGTAAGGTGGTGCATGAGTATGGCGGTATGGTATTACAGCACCGGTATGTAAATCGGGTCTCCGGTGCGTGTTTCGCCCTACACAATCAACATTAAACAAAATTGTCTACACATAACATTGTTTCACTACGTACGTGTTTTCCACCGGGTATGGAAAGCAAAAACATTGTTGATGCAAAGAAAACTATGTAGGGAAACAATGTTTTTGGTAGACAATGTTGTTTTTGTGGATTGTGTAGGGAAAGACACGCTGGAGACCCTGCTTTATGTGAAAGGCTAGATATTCGTATTACGCTACGCTATCTACTGCGAGGAGGCGGGCGAGCACTCGGCCACGTCGGGTCGTGCTCGGGGCCAGTCGTGGCCGCACTACACTACACTGCGCGCACCTTGTTGTTGACGTCGTAGCCGCTGACGCTGTACGTGTACATGAGATAGGAGCCGCCCTGGGACGAGGCGGGCGAGCACTCGGCCACGTCGGGTCGTGCTCGGGGCCAGTCGTGGCCGCACTACACTACACTACACTGCGCGCACCTTGTTGTTGACGTCGTAGCCGCTGACGCTGTACGTGTACATGAGATAGGAGCCGCCCTGGGACGAGGCGGGCGAGCACTCGGCCACGTCGGGTCGTGCTCGGGGCCAGGTCGTGGCCGCACTACACTACACTGCGCGCACCTTGTTGTTGACGTCGTAGCCGCTGACGCTGTACGTGTACATGAGGTAGGAGCCGCCCTGGGACGAGGCGGGCGAGCACTCGGCCACGTCGGGGTCGTGCTCGGAGCCCCAGTTGTGCCCGAACTCGTGCGCCGTCACCAGGTCGGCTTCGCGCGTGATGACGCGCTGGCAAATGGAATATGGATTCAGTTTCGTTTGCAAGAGTCAAAACATTTTAGACATTACAGTTTAACCCTTTAACTGGTAAAGAGAAAAATATTTTTCATTCGTTTTGTACCTTATGTTTTCTCAATAAGGTTCAAAATATGGTGGCAACAATTCTGCCACTACCAGGTAAAGGTTTAAACTTAATAGATCGAAGTCATAAGAAAAGTGCTTCAGTACGTTAAATAGTGTCAGATTGTCCAGTGGGCCGAGTGCGAGTTTAAATCAAACGCGCGCGTTTAAAAAATGTATGCAAATTTTAGTTCTTGCACGTTTCCGCTAGGGGCGCTGTACAATCCGTCATACATTTAATGTAATTTTTTGACGCGCTCACTAGTCAGCACGGTTGATATAAACTCACACTAGGCCCTCAGTAGGCTTGAGCCTAAGGCGACTATAAGGTTAAATAATAATCCGTCAGCAAACATCTGTAGTTGGACAATTTTACACAGCGCCAGCTAGCCCCAAAGTAAGCAACTTATATGCTTGTGTTATGGGTGCTGGCTTAACGGATATACTACTTAAATACTTTTTTTTTTAAATACATACATATTATACATAGTAACACCCAGACCCGTCACAGAAATTAAAATTCATCATCTCAATTTCTGCCCGGCCGGGAATCGAACCCGGGACCTCTCGGCATAGTAGTCCGTTCTGAACCACTACACCAAACGGCCGACTGTTATTATGGTGGCGGTAATTTCAATACGACAGTTATTTATGGCAACTTTTATTAGGAAACTCTTAAATAATTATGAAATCAGTATTTATATTAAGCGCAAGTAACAATACAAGTAGAAAGATTATTGTAGAATAAAATGAGTCTTTTTTACCTGCCCATAGTGATTTCGGGACGAGCTCAATCCAGAGTTTAGGTACAATGTGTATCCATTCTTGAAGTATTCTGTAATGTTTCAAAAAATATTGACAAAATGTTCAGAGTTAATCTTTCTTGATTGACGAAGGTTATGTATAAGAAAATAAAATATATGATAACAATGATTAGATAAAATAGAAATTGAACTGAAAATAAATTTATTTAAAAGCAAACAAATGAAAAAGATAAATTACAAACAAATGACAATACCATAAACTTAATTAAAACTTATAAAAACAAAAGCAGTAAGCAACATAAAAACACTTACACTATTGCTCAACAACATAGCTGAAAACAGAAACACAAAATCATAATTACTAAACAGGAAACAACGTAAAATAAAAAAAGGTGGGGGCCCATAGAAAGATATCATTGGTCTTTGTTTTGTATGTGGTTTTTTGAATACCTATGAAACTCAGGAGATGAAAATGGCTTAAGACAAGACAGATTCAAAATTCTTCACATTAGAATAAAATAGACATACAAAACAAACTCTATGTTTAGAATACAATCACCCTCCATTAAATTTTCCATAGGATGAAATAGAAATTAATTTACCAGGAGTGCAGATGCCACCAACAGAGTTACGTCGAGGCGAACCTACGTACGCCAAGCCTAGGATACCTCCTTCGAATTTGAGGTCGGTAAACAGATGCGCCAGGCAGAAGTCTTTGTGCGAGTACTCGCGACTGAACACCTGAAATTACATTTTTAGTCATATAATAATATAACTAAATTTAACATAGATCATGCATGGAGAGAGTGATGAACATTGAAACTTCTGTCATCAAGATTTGTAGTCCCCTAGTTTAATGCTACATTTGGAAGTTCCACTTACATTTATGTAACAAAGAAAATTATTCATTACCTCAAGCAAATTACGCACATCCCACTTCTCTCGCACCATGTTGTAATGTGCTTCACCACCACGGACCCGAGTGGGCTCAGAATGGACCAGGATCTTCTTTATTACAAAACCCATGCCTTTGAATCCATCCATGTCCTACATAATAAGTCCATAGTTTAATGATCTTTAAAAATTAAAATATCAAAGATCAGAGAGGAGAGTACAAATAAAAATAAACTAACCTGCCTGTCTTGCCACACTGTGTCATTGTAAATCTTGTGAACTCTATCTATAAGGCTAATCTGCAAAAAAAGATTTCGTTTTAACATGTGTGTTACTCACCAAATAACCTCCTAAAATAAATATAACTTAGCAGTTACTTATGCTTGCCAGCAGCAGTACACTTACCAAATAACTGATGGTGGTTTTGGTATTACTGGCACCCATTTCTTGAAAAAATCTATAATCTGCAACTAGCAATAAGGGACACCTAGTTTTTGTAGGAGTGTACTCATAGTCACTTTGTCTTTTAGTCCTCTTATGATTGCCATCTTTTTCTTCATTTTTCATTTCCCTCAGTTTGCCATTATGTGAATCACCATTATGGGTACTGGTGATGGTCTGGTTTAAATATTTGTCTTTTTCTGATTGCTCATGCCTTGAAACTTCTATATCATCTTCTTCTAACTCTGAAAAGTTTCAATATAAAGTCAGTGGTGGTTAGTATGTAAAGTAAAAGAAACTAACCTGTGTTACTTAAGGCTGCCGTGACACAAGCACAGCTTAGTGCAGCAGCCGCTAGATAAACAGACTGTAAATTTTTTGTTGGCAAATAAAATACTTTTACTTTACTTTACTTTTAAAAAGAAAAGAGTAAATAATACATACCTTTTCCTTCCTTAACATATCCACAGACCCTGGGTTTGTTGCCAGTTTGACCATCAGACCAGCTGAACCGTATGTCTGAGGACTTGTATGTTATCATCGTTTTATCATCATGGTCTGGCAGATGTCGCCATGAGGGCTGGTGAACATAAACATCATATCATCAATTTTGCATTAATTAATTCAGATAACTGCCTAATTTAACTACAGCATAATACCAAGTCTTTTTACCTCTATATGATAAGTTTCATGAGGTGTGTGTATAATTCCAGTAATAACACCATCTTCCAAGTGCAATTTTACATCAGATGACTTTTCACCAAACACTCTGCCAGTGTAGAAATTATTACGATCTGAAAATCATAGATATCAAATTAGTAAGTAAGCCCTTTTCAGGGCACTTATACATGTCCCAGTTAAAGCTTGCCCTACCACCTTATTAGGCAAACATAATATGTTGCTAAGAAGTCATCAAAAGGTTGTGCAATTAAATTTCATACTTACCAACATGAACAGTAGTTTCTTTCCCATCAGCATCAACTGAGTAAGCCTTAAAATTTGAATGTAGAACAGAGCTGTGAGGATGAAGAATTAATCGGAAGTCTTTTCCATGGGTTTTGAACTGCAGTTCCTTGATCGTGTTGAACGGATGGCTCGACAACTTAGCACCGCGTTTTACAATGTTGTGCTGAAGACTGTCCGCGTGTATAGTCTCGAAATACTTTAGATTATTATGTATAGAACCTATAACAATAAGATAATGTAAAAAACATAGTACTTTTCATGTAAGAAAGTAAGTTTTACGATACTTACATTCGAAATTCCCCATCAAGGTGGAAATCATTATTGCAGTAAATAAACTCCAACTTTTATAACCATGCATGATTGTATGTAAAAAGGTTTCACTAAAATGGGTGTCTTTTCGGTTTTCACGCGTAAGTTATGTGATAAATTGAATTCTGAGAACTTTCACTTGGGTAAACAAAATATTGATTTCATTTCATACGCCCCATACGTCATCTGTCATTTTGACATAGGACGGGAATCACTTCACTAGTGCTGCAAGTTTTTTTTATAAATACCGATCTTGAGGCAATATATCGGTAAATTACCATCTCATTATGAGGTATAGAAAAGTTATCAAGCTGCAATCACGGGCCGGCGAAGGTGTAGGGTGTATTCCTGCTCAGCTCAGTGCTCTCACTGAAGGGTGTGGAGTGTGGTGTGGAGACTGGAGCATGGAACACACCCGTTGTGTTGGCAGGCCCCCCACTAGGTGAACCGATGATCTAGTCAAGAACCTGGATGGATACGGACAGCGCAGGACCAGTCATTGTGGAAATCCTTGGGAGAGGCCTTTGTTAATGCTGTATAAAGGTAATCTATTCTATTCTTTGTCCTGCAGTGGACGATATTTGGTAGAGACGAACAAACCATCGCTATTCGCGATACATAATATGTACATTAAACAGTCATAATCATTATACCTATCTCAATTATGTCAGAGCTTTTACTTAAATATTTTATCGGGCAATATTTGTTAATTCGGTACCCACAAACCACATTAAATTTCATCATATTATGGGTTTTCTTCTATCTCTAGTTGCTTCTCTGATAAATAATCACATTCGCTCAAATTTTATGTACAACTAGCGGCCGCCCGCGACTTCGTACGCGTGGATATCGTTTTACCTCCTTAGGGGTGGTTTCGTAAAATTCTTTCTTAGCGGATGCCTACACGTCATAACATCTACCTGCATGTCCAAATTTCAGCCCGATCCATCCAGTGGTTTGGGCTGTGCGTTGATAGATCACTATGTCAGTCAGTCAGATACAGTTAGATACCATTTATTAAAAAAACTATAACAATATTTTTTAATAAATATTTATTAAATAGAAACAATAAATACTGGGTTACATTTTGTATCTTTATTTGCTAAGCTTTTGCTAATATATTTTTTAATCTTGCGATAGAAAGCATGTAAGACCCTAAACTTACTGAAAAAACATAATATTTAAGCTTTACAAATCAATATTATCATCGAGAGGAAGTTGCCTTGTGCCAGAGGCATTTAAAAATCAAGTTATATAATAATAGAATCTCAAGTAACCGTATATTTTTGAATAAACATGTTAAACTTCGGTAATGATAATAATATACGTGTGACGTCTATGCCGAAATATTTTCCAACATCTAAACAGTTTAGTTGAGTGCGGTAGAGGTAAGGAGGGCGACGCCTCGCTCGTAGAAGGCGTGAGGCTCCTGCCCAGGCGCGACTGGTAGGCGCACAGTGAACAGTAGCTCGGAACGCGCGCTGTTCAAATACACCGGAAGGGTGAGAGTCTGCCCGCCTGTTGATGTTTCCGGCCCACTGTGAAAAGAAAAAATAAAATTTATTAGGAAATAACGGTAAGCACTATTTTGGCAAAAAATCATAAAATAAGATTAATGTTTTTGTATTAAATTCGTGCTGTTATTGCTCCATTCGGTTGATTATTGAAAAAAAAGGATAACATTTTAAAAACCGATTTTCAGAATATTAGTCACATCACTAGTCTAGGTGTAGGTGGGCAGCATGGCCTTTGCTTTGACCTTAGCCTGTTCCCGCAGGATGTAATGAAAAATAATAATGTAGAAGCATAACTAGGCAGCGTGGCCTATTCCAGTAGGAACCAATAAAAAGATTATATAAGCATAGAAGGAAATTCCAGTTGGACTGACCGTAGCCAAGTGAGCACGGTGAGCGGCAGATCCACCATGATGGTATTCGTGAGCAGCAGACGGTTGCCCTTGACGGTGGCGCCCTGCAGCTTAAGGCCAGTCACCGAGAACGACCACTCGGACTGCGCGTTCTCCGTCGGCGTGCCCGGGTCCGGGATCGTCACCTGGTGGGGACAAGTTGTTTTATCTTTAAATATACATAATAACTCAAAGGTCACTGACTGACTGACATAGTGATCTATCAACGCACAGCCCAGTAGATGTTATGACGTAAGCATCCGCTAAGAAAGGATTTTACGAAACTCCACCCCTAAGGGGGTAAAACGGGATCCACGCTACAAAGTCGCGGCGGCCGCTAGTAAGTTTTAAAAATACCCCAAAACAAGGAAACACTTAACTAAACATCGAAAAAAAAAGACGAGTTCATCATGCTTCTTTGTTGAAGTGCTTTTTGCTCCGGGAAAACAATCTTATCCATATAATTTTTACGTTTCTTTTGAATTTTTGTACCTCCACTTTGATGGAGGTTTAGATCGACATTAACGACCTCTATTAATTTTACACAGGTATGGCTTAACATTACATATTAGTTAAAAGATACTTTACCTGTAGGTGAAGTTCTTCAAGAGACCAAGAGTTGGCTTGAGCTACACATTGGCGAGTTGCAGTGATGTATGCCTCTGGGTTGAGCAGGCCTCCGAGCCAAACCGGCACGCTCTGTAAGCAGGATAATAAATTAATCAGTAAACATATAAGTACTCCTAAAAGCACTCAATAAACATGCAAGGAGGGCCCGAATCCAAGTGCTTCTTGTGTCACTTTCAGTCTACGTCGTTTCACTAGATCGCTGGTGCAACCAATAGGAAGGCTCTCTACAAATACGTTTTCGCCGCACAAGATTAGCCTTATCGTCCCGGCTAATCCTGTCAGCCTCGCCAGCTTGAAGGCAGCGCACTAAAGCTCCCACCATAGCTCGCGTCTCATTCGAGCGCTCAAGGTCCGTGTCGTCTTTTGTTTTTTACCTGCAGTCGCTTGGCGCCCTTGTCAGCCACGGCTTCTGATACAGCCGCCAACTGCGTTACGCAATGTGCGAAGTCGCCAACCCACTGCTGCACAGTACATCTACGCGCTACGGCATAACGCCGCCAACTTGAAGGCAGCGTGCCGCGGACTATTACTCCCAACCATGGCTCGTGTCTCATTCGAGCGCTCAAGATCCGTGTCGTCTTTTGTTTTCTTACCTGCAGTCGCTTGGCGCCCTTGTCAGCCACGGCTTCTGATACAGCCGCCAACTGCGTTACGCAATGTGCGAAGTCGCCGACTCACTGCTGCACAGTACATCCACGCGCTACGGCATAACGCCGCCAACCTGAAGGCAGCATGCCGCGGACTAATGCTCCCACCATGGCTCGCGTCTCATTCGAGTGCTCAAGATCCGTGTCGTCTTTTGTTTTTTCTTACCTGCAGTCGCTTGGCGCCCTTATCAGCCACGGCCTCAGAGACAGCTGCGAGTTGCGTGACGCGGTGCGCGAAGTCGCCGACCCACTGCTGCACAGTACATCCACGTGCAACGGCATAACGCCGCCAACTTGAAGGCAGCATGCCGCGGACTAATGCTCTCACCATGGCTCGCGTCTCATTCGAGCGCTCAAGGTCTATGTAATCTTTTGTTTTACCTGCAGTCGCTTGGCGCCCTTATCAGCCACGGCCTCAGAGACAGCTGCGAGTTGCGTGACGCGGTGCGCGAAGTCGCCGACCCACTGCTGCACAGTACATCCACGCGCAACGGCATAACGCCGCCAACTTGAAGGCAGCATGCCGCGAACTAAAGCCCCCACCATGGCTCGCGTCTCATTTGTTTGCTTCATCTCGCCCTGTGGAATCGTGCGATTTATTATAGACCGTGGGATGTAGGACGGTTCAGGTGACATGGACAGTTTGACATGATTAGAGATTTTAATCGGATTAATAAATAAGGTAATTTTTACATTTGACTATAAAATATCTTAAGATAAGACGCAGATTTTATGAGACTTTAGACACATATCTTTTAGAATGCTATTATATCTCATTCCGATGTAAAATTCCTACATATGACTCTACTGCAGGGTTTCCCATTTTTTTTTGCCAAGGAACCCTAATTGATTATACTTTTCCTAGCGGAACCCCCGTACTACTCCGCCCGCACGCCCTGCCCCTCCCTTGTGCGTAAACAAGTCGGTGCGAGCGAACAACGTCGGTCACGAAACGTGGGATAATATTTTTTACGGAACCCTTGCGGCCTTTCCACGGAACCCCAGGATCACCATTCGGGAACCGCTGCTCTACTGGACTAAAGTGAGCTTTCACACAAATTGGACACCTACGAAGAAAAAACACTCTAAAACCTGACTTTTGCTTACCTGACAGATGGAGATGACATTGCGCAGGTCGTGCAACACTTGCTGCAGTAGCGACGCGCCGGCCGCCACCTCGCGCTCGAAGAACCGGTACAACGGATCTTTGATGTTCTCCACCGTACGGCGCAGCGTCTGTGAGAAGACCGTTGGATTAGCAAACCATTTTCGAATGTTTTATATTGTTGTTTGCTTTGATTGAACTCGAAGAAGTGCACATGGTTTATTTTTATTAACTGATTCATTAGACAATAATAGAACATGACCAAAATAAATAAAAACTTCACTGACAATATTACTTGAAACAATTTTCTAGAGTTCAGAGAACAACACCAATTTACTCCATTGGAGTTAAATTACATTAATTAAAATAAATAACAACGTCACTCACAATAATCTTATTTTTTACTGTTCAGAGAAAATTACCAACGGAGTAAGTGAAAAATAATTAGGTGTCTGAAAAGTGGGCAAAAATGATTTCATAACAGAAGCTATACCGAAAGAGAAAAGTGTATTGTAATAGCCTATCTGGAGGTTTTCTTAATGAATATACACTTACGGGTAGTTCTTGTGGCAACAACTGCAGCCAGTTGGTAGCAGTCGCGTGCAGGGTCTTCATCCAAGCCGGCCTGCCGTCTCCTTCCACCACCATCGCGGCTACAAAAAGATATTTAAATGTAGACGTTTTAGAGCGACAATATCCCTTCAAGCCCCGCGAATCGCGACACAATATAAAAATCAATTGTTACGCGGTCATATGCGACCTCTTGGGATATTAAATACTATTTTAAAGAGCGATGTTTTTCATTTATCGATTAATGGAGTCTCTCGATTATCATCGCAGTTCTTTTTGAGCTGATATTTTTACTTACTGAGGTCATCCTGCGCTGCGGCGTTGTAGGCCAGTTCTTCCTCGTCTTCAAGTTGTTGCATCTTGAGAAGTTTTGATACGAGATCGCTTCCTTGAGTTGTCAGTAGCACCTACACATTTCAATTGTTGTATTGTACGACGTAATTCCATATCAATTTATTGCTTTCACTCAGAGTTAGATATAAGTTTGAGTGACAAACAGTGGACCCAAAAAACAGAAATAGCATTGGTAAGAAGCCCTGATGATATATTTTCCTGATTCTAAATTCTATAAGAACAGAATGAAAATGTATGAAAAACTGACAGTAAAAAAGTGTAAAATGGAAACGGCATCATTTAGGCGTTCCCATTTCTAGAAATTGATAAATTATTAAAAAATAAATGTGATTGATATTCACCTTCTCAGCATTGTTTGGCAGTCCCAGCCACGACGGCGTCTGCCTATCGGACAGCTCTTCGATCCACTTGAGGAAGTGGTCGCGGCGGTTGCCGTCCGGCATGGTGATGTGGCGCTGGTTGCCGGTCGCCTGTTGCAGCAACTGCCGTTATTCCAGTCCACCAGTTAACACACAACACGACACAACATGCAAGCGATTACGAAGGGGAACGTACTGGATAATTGCCATAGCAGTCGAAAAGGCCTTTATGTCCCAACAAAGGTTTTTTTAATTCAGTAGATTATATCTGGACAGATGACAAGCTGAGGAATCTATTTTACATAATGCAAAATAACGAGGGCTTGCTTAAACCTACTAAATAAGTAAGCACTTGCTACAACTTAATAATATCGAGATTGTATCTATATCTGTCCTAGTTATTGACAAATTCTAATAAATCGCCATTTAAAAGCAAAAACACTTAATAAAATTCAATATAACGACAGGCACACCCATTACACGTATAAATTACGAATCAAAAGTAACTTGTAAAAGTAAAAAATAGAACCTCTAATCTTGCTACGTTATATTATTGTCTTTCAATATTTTACAAAATAAATTAACCATCTATACATAAATATCGATCAAAGTAGCGGTATAAAATGAATCCGATGACATGCTCATTTTACTTGGAAATGCGTTTAACATCTACCACAAACATGCTAGCAAGCACATCACTTACCCCGTCCACATTGGCGACTAAAGCAAAATCTGCCTCGAAGGACCTTGGCGTGAACAGCTTGCACAAGAAAGAGTGCAGCAGACGCTGGTCGAAGGCGTTGTCGATCTTTCCTCCGTAGATGCACTGGGATAGGAGAGTGACCAGAGCTTCCCACGGGACTTTCTCGGGAGGAAGGTTGGTGCGGCCCTGGAGCGATAAAACTTGGCAGTAAGGGTTTGGTAACAAAGGCATATGTTTATCATTTCTAATGAGTGTAAAAAAAATAATGGTCTTTTTGAGATAGCCTAATAATATATTTGTCTTTGTGCAATGCATAATGTGCATGCCGTGCAATAATGATGATTCACAGTAGAGATGAGACGTATTTACTAGAACAGATCCACACACTAGGTATTTTACAGTACTAGGCGGCACCTATTCCATTTAAAAAAATACTTGATCCACCTAGTATATTATAGTTACACGATTTCCGACCCTACCCTGAAAGTAATAGAGGTTATTATTGCGTAATCCGTAGTCGTGTATTACGCGCACCTAGTATTTCTCGCTAAGCTTATGTGCGAACGTAGAGATTCACTCCGTCTCTGTCTAACCAAACAAATTTGAGCGCGACGAAGCAAACGCACACAAACGTAGTCAAACCATATTCATGTACATAAGAAAAAAGTATGTAAATATTTTTATGAAATTGATATCTTTTAAATACGCCAACTTTTAAGTTGACAGTCCAAAGCCTGTTGAAGTGTGAAGGGAGGAATTATATTATTATTCAATTTCAAATTGCATTATTCATACTACGGTTGTATCTTTTCAAAGAAAATTGTATTTTAAAGTCATATTACTTGGATTAGTCCGCACTAGTCGCGTCAAGTATGCTAAATTACTACGTACTAGGTGGAACAGGTATTTGGATCGAGTATTAATAAATACTTGGAATAGGTGCACCTAGTATCAAATTTACCTAGTATAGCCTGACCAGGAACATAAAAACCCTCGCCATGTTGCGGAAAACTAATGGTACTAATTTCTTTTAATGGCAACAGTAACTGAAAACTTCATTGACATGTCACCTTGCATGTCAGTCTATTGCTGTCAAAGTGTAAACAAACTTTATTTTAAATGTGCGCAATTGATTTTGTGAATTAAATTGCTAAAATCTTTTTATAGTCGTGAAAGAAAAGTGGTTCACAATGTGTTAAAGTATTTGTCAAAGAGAAATACTAAGGGTTCGGACAATATTTTCATTGAATAATGTTTCCGACAAAGGTTGTCAAATTGACTGTCATGTTTATCGTATAGTACAGTCCACTATGAAAATTAGCTGTGGTTTGTTTCAACTACCTATTTTAAAATTTTCTGTCACTTTCTAAGTGTTGAATTTTATGGAATTGGGAAAGAAGTACCGAGGTTGAAGCGTTCATGACCAAACATTGCAGTTGAATATTCAAGTTCTGAATTTGATTATTGATGAATAATAAAATAAATCCTACTAGCTCGATTGATGGTTTCATTTAATTTATTTAAACCAGGTTACCTATAATAATATTTTTTGGTTAATTTATGAAAATATCAAATTAGCCTAATTTATGAAAATATCAATTATAATTCAGGATTACGGCCTGAATCCTGATACATAAAGTTAGCCTATTAATTTAACACAGGTACGACTGTACTCAGTGTTGCACTATCAAATGCGATTGACGCGCCTCTATGCCAGGGTTTTTATGTTCCTGGTCAGGCTATATAACCCATCTCTAATTCATAGTCATATTTCTGTAATTTTTATCTTTGTTTGACAGAGTCCTAAAGAGATTAGTGTTGTTTGTTACCATGGCCGTGGCGTCGATCCAAGTATCCAGAGTGTCACAAGCCACACGGAGGTCCGACTCATTGAACTCGTAGTATTTAGCCCATCCGAGCGGCACGTAACGAAGACGCTCTTGTACGATGCCTAAAACGATGATAACAATGAGTAGTATGAGACACTATTAAAAAGGATCACTGGAATATACTAAGATTACTTGTAATATCTCCAGTTACAGCGTGTTTATAATTACCATGGAACCAAGCAAGTAAGAAGTAAAGTCTTGCGCGCTCCGAAGGAGGTTTCATCATGCGGGCAGCAGGGACCTGTAAGCAAAGAATGACTCGTTATATGTTCAATTTATCAATTCAGGTAGTTGACACATTTATGAGCTCTCAAAACGCGACTTTCCTGCGTAGATATTGCACAGCAATGAGGATTATGACGTCACTTAGACAAATTATTTACTGATTTCTAGTAATATTCTAATTAAATAGAAATTAGAGAGCTTTGCTGTAGTGGAGGCTAATATATCCTGATGACGGTCAACCTCTACTTAAACTTACAGTAGCGAAAGTCCTGAGCAAATTAGCCCGGATACCCGGCGGCGGCTCGAAGACAAGCACTCGGCCGGCTCTCAGCAAATTCACTGGCAGTTTGGGACTGATCTCCGTGGTTAAGAACAGGCGGAAGTTCGGGTGCGGTTGTAGGGAGTGCAACTTCTTCTCTAGCTGCACTAGCCAAACGGGTGCTAGGTGCACGTTCTTTAGCATCACCCAGCTGAAAAAAGGGACATTTAGTTACCATGTGTAACATTAATTTCATTTTCATATCGCGAGGGTCAACATAAACTGCACTATACAAGACGATAGAAAGATTTTTTTTAGTTAAGAGAATTATTCCTTATTCACTACCATCTTTAAACACATTGTAAGGACACAATTTAGACGGTGTAATCGCTAGGTAGCTGTCTTTTTCAGACATTCCATGGAGAGGACATTTGTTTCGAACTGTTGATGTTGCCTAGGGGAAAATGAATTAAATTAAAATAAAACAATAAATTCACAAACCGTCCCGTCTTGCAAGCGGTGTTGATAGCACGCTCCGCTTGGTTGAATCCTTCCGCCGACCCGATGGCAATACTCGAAAGCGGTTTGTTTAGTTCAGTCGCCATATCGTCCACACGACCTGTCAATATAAAATTTATATTGTGTTGCTGTAATCATTGTGACAGTTTAATCAATGGCAAAAGGTTTCCAATCAAAAGAAATGTATCTACCTAATTTCCCACCTCATGCTGCTTTTGATATTAAAACTTGATTTACATGATGACCTACATAGTCTGTCTGTATTTTATTTACTTACCGCTAGCGTCATATCCAGGCACGGAGCACAGCAGTGCAGGAGTGGTAGCGTTTAGCTGTTGGTCGGTAATACCGGCCAGGTCCAATTCAGTCTCAGCCCGCGATAGGAATATGGGGCCAAGTACCGCGGCCACCAGTTGCGTCGCAGCCGCTATCACGCGGTCTGGGCGGAACGCCTATAAAAAGGGTAAATAACATTGTCAAACTGTTTATATTGGTAATTTACCATGTTCAACGGTTCATAATGAGTTTATTTTTGAAAGACAATTAAATCAGCTATTTTATTCGTACTTGCAATAAAGGTTTTCACTACAGATATGATGTGATGATGTAAGATGTTGCCGGTTTTCTACCAGATGATCAAAGCTGGACACTTAACATAGGCGCAGGCTTGTTACAACAATGGCACGAAATAACAAGTTCATCGCCATTGACTATAGAAGATTTTCCTTCTTCTTTTATGATTAATAATTTGTACATGCGAGTAACTCTCTTTTCTTCTACTTTTACAGTAAATAATTCGTCAGTCCCACAGCGTCGGCACGCACTGCTCGGGCGCCGCTTGCGACAGCCCCGCGGGGAGTCCCGGGGCTCCGCTGCCGTCCCCAGCGGGCGGGGACAACACACCTGTATGAGCAGCAGGCGATACATCGCCAGCGTGTGCGGCGCGGGCGGCGCGGCGGCGTCGCAGTCCCACAGCGTCGGCACGCACTGCTCGGGCGCCGCTTGCGACAGCCCCGCGGGGAGTCCCGGGGCTCCGCTGCCGTCCCCAGCGGGCGGGGACAACACACCTGTATGAGCAGCAGGCGATACATCGCCAGAGTGTGCGGCGCGGGCGGCGCGGCGGCGTCGCAGTCCCACAGCGTCGGCACGCACTGCTCGGGCGCCGCTTGCGACAGCCACGCGGGGAGTTCCGGGAGCTCCGCTGCTTTCTCTAGCAGGCGGCGGAACGCCATCAACCTGGGTCAACAAAATATTTAGGTGTAAGAAAATAAGAGAAAAACTTTAGCCGGATCTTCTCTAGAGGCAGCCTATGCGGCTGCGGAAAATGGAGACGCGGCCTCATCTTGAGGCACGACTCATTGCGAGGCCAATTTCGGCGCGAGCCACACTTTGTCGCTCAGGACGAGGCTGTCTCGGCTGTCTTGTCATGACAGTCGATTAAAGTAATTACAAGGAATACAAGGAACCAGAGAGTGGACGTTATTTTAATTGAAAAAAAAGGGGGAAGGTGGCTTCCGAATTTTAAAACAGTTTTGGAATAACAACAAGCTATTCTCCCGTAACCCCTTCATGATGGAGTTGAAAAGTGATAATAAGTGTCAGGGGATCTCGCGAGATCAATCCTCCAGTGTCGAGCGAGCGAGAGCAAAAACATAGCACACCTTTTTTTTTATAAAGTTCCAAACGCCAAAGCCTCTTTATTGAGCTTTTAAAAATAACCATCCTAGACTGCATCTCACTTAACACCAGGTGCGATTGTGGTCGAATTTGAATAGGCATAATATGATCAGCATTATTTGATTTAATCATTACGAGCATAATTGTCGAATGTTCAAGCATACAGAGAACAGTCAATAGAAATTAAGTGGCTATTACCTTGAGCTCAACCTCGCAGCGGCGGTATGTTGCTGTGTGGTAAGGTGGTCGGAAGGCGGCGCGTGGTTGACGAAGCCTTCTTTGCCGCGAAGGAACACGCCGAACGATTGGTCCAAAGTGTCGGCGGCCCCGGTGCCCTTGAGGTGGATTCGGCACAGCAGCAGAGCGAAGGTAAGGCGGTCTGTGTGCAGCATACCGCGGGCCACACGCTCGTATACAGCCTGAAAGGTTTTGTGAATTAGTACATTGATTGGCCAGTGCAGTGCGAATATTCTACCAATATCATGTACAGACGATAGCACATCAATGTCTATAGCAAATACATCAGATACAAATGTTTTCTGCAATATCGCTTCCCCTATCACGAGAACATAAGATGTCAGAGTGACCTTTTGGTGGGTGATCAAACAAAAAGGATTGATGCCCGTTTTCACCATCAATCCCTAATTTTTAAGTGACCCCTATGGTAACACAAAAGGAATTTTGTTTTCAAAGGGGTCCTTTAAATATTAGAGATTGATGGTGAAAACGGGCATGAGTCTACTACTCAAATGCAACAACATTCTTACAGGAACAATAAACAAATATTAAAAATATCGGACATTTACAACCCCGTCCTAATTGCTTGTGTTTTACGACAATTTGAAAACATTTGTTTGGATGATTTGATCTCCTCTTAGGGAACTTGGTTTGGTAGTGAAAACTCGAGGCATTCGTTCCATTACGCTTAAATTGATTGACAATTGTTCTACAACTACCAATACTTACCGTAAACAGCTCCTCAGTGATGGTGTTCAAACGAGCGGTATAGTCGGTGACGCCGCTTAGACGCGGGCACACGAGCACCGAGCTGAATATGTCCAGGAACATCTTGAGCGAGTACTGATACAAGAAGTGCACTTGGTTCAGAGACTCCATCGTGAAGTAGATGCTGCTGCAAGCCTGAGGAAAGAGAGGAATATTACCTTGTATTTCGCGCCATTTACCTCAAATCAAAACTCGTTATAATATGCATCAGTGTCATAGGAAGTCTTTTAACTCTTACACAATGAAGTGGTCCCTTCAGTGTGTAAGAGTTAAAAGCACAGATCACAGAAACTAAAGGGAGATGTGAAAAGGGGGCGGGGCCGGTGTCGCAGCAATATGCCCAAAAACAGAACACATTGCTCGTGACAGCAATGATGTGTGTGTCAGTGTCATAATCTAAACAGTTTAGATTGCTTGCGTAGTACTAAAGATTATTCGAACGTTGAGTACTGATACCGCAGTGAATAATAATGAGCACATATTTTGATTACTTTATGTGTGTGAATTTCTCTATATCTCTCTATATCTCTATGGTTGAAACACTTTAAACACAGAACTGCGTCATAACATCTAGTAAGTTGATCGAATATGGCTTGCCTTTTTGCTTCATTAATTTTAATTTGCGCCATATTTCCGTAAACCTATAATAATCTTTGTATAAATAATTTATTGGGTGCTCAATAAGAAAGAAACTTACCTGAGATAGCGGCAGATACTGCTGGCTAACGGTTTCAATTTCACCAATGACTTTATCGGTCTCTTCCACCTAAAAATAAGAACATAACGAAAATGTTATTAATATAAAAGTAAACTTAACATCAAACGATACTTAAAATCCTTTTTTTATCTATCTGACCTTCTGTCCGATGTCATCGGCCTCCTTCTTCAAAGTTTCAAGGGTGGCAATAACGGAGTCGTCGTCCAGGATCTTGCCCTTTGCGTCGTTTAGAGCTTGGAGCAGGGATTTCTCCAGTTGACGCAGACGGAGATGGAATTCACCTAAACAGGTAACACAATATTAATATTATGGTCAAATGATATAATCATAAACTTGGTTTCATCTACACATATTAATGTAGCGACGAATCAATATGACCTCATATCTGTTCATAGTTGAAAAAATACATTGTGTACGTTCCATGGAAAATAACTCGTGAATATTTTATTACTTTCTTTCTCTAAGCAGAATCTGGTCTCCACTGTAGGAGCATGTACTTTTCTAATATACCAGAGACAAATGGATGATTTAACCCGCACTCCTAGAAACCTAACCTGTCTGGCCACGTGGCCAGATAGGTTGGGGAAGCATAAGTTTCTATATCATACGCGTAAACCACTTGCCTTGCAATTTGAGTAGGTCAGATCTCTTAGTGTCAATGTCAGGTCGTTCAGCCTTGAGCACGCGATGCAGACACTGTGACTGCAGCGACGAGCGCGTCACAGTGAAGTTCACGAACGTCACACGCGAGCACATGTCCGGAGGAAACTCTACTGTTGGGTCCCTGTGGAGATTTACTAGCGTTAAGACTATAATAGAGTAAGAAAGGCAGAAAGAGAGAGAGGAAGGTTAAAGGGGAGGAGAGAAAAGAAAGGCAGGAAAATAAATAAATAATACCCTTGGACATTTTACACTGCGCTTCTAGTCAAAAACTAAGCAAAGCTTGTACTATGGGTACTGGTCAACGGATATAAACATACTTAAATACTTTTTTTTTGTAAATACATACTTATTATACATAGAAAACACCCAGTCTAATACAAACAAATATGTATGTAAGGGGTAAGAAACAAGAAGAGAGAGAGAGAGAGAGAGAGAGAGAAAAGGTAGGCAGGAAGAGAGCAAGAAGAAGTAAGGAAAAACGGGAGAGAGAGAGACTTTCTAAGACGTTTGCTTGTGAAACGAAGATAAATAACAGCATGACGTCATTTATCTTCTTCAGTTGGTCTTTTACAATAGTTAACGATCTAAAAATTCTTGGTTATGTGCGTTAATTACCTGGTGCTGAGGAAGATGACGAAGGAAGGACTCAGATCAATGTCCTGGTCTCCGAGCGTGATGAGTACACGGCCGCCAGTACGGCGGAGCTCTCGGTTCAATACCGGGTTTAAGATGGGGTCATAGTTCTCCACGTCCTACGCAAAAACAAAAGGAAATCATTAACATATTATTTGATATATTTGAGTAGTAGATGCTAAATGATAGAACCATTTGATCACACTTCAAAAATGTATTCCCATATCAACTCACCTGTACCAACAACGGGTTTCCGAAACGCAGAGCTGATTCCAGGTTCTTCCTGAAGGAATCGTCCAGGAATGACGTTTTGGTGATCTTGCGGTCCTTAAACTCCCTCATTATGAACTCCGTCGCTTGGCCGGACGGGTCTATTATGAGCGGGTAGCGGTTGAAGCGCTGAAAGAGAGAAAAAACAAAAATTATATGGTACTAGCGGCCGCCCGCGACCTCGTACGCGTGGATCCCGTTTTACCCCCTTAGGGGTTGAATTTTGCAAAATCCCGTCTTAGTGAGCACCTACGTTCTAATAGGAACCCCCATGCAAAAATTGAGACTTTTAGCACTTGTAGTTTCTGAGATTTCGTGATAAGTAAGTCAGTCAATCAATGACCTTTCGCTTTTATAGATATAGAAGATGTGCACACGCAGATTACAGAAGCTCACTTAGGCATAATATGTCACACGTGACACAACACTGCAAAGACTAAGCGAAACCATTGAATTTGTTCATTCATTCGATCAGAAGTATCTGTCATGGCATAAAATATTGTCAGTCTAAGCATACATGCGTTTTCGACACACAGCTCATGAGTTTGGTTGCTCAGGTACTCGATTTAAGCGATGTTTACGCGGTATATGACGTTTAATATTCTTCGTGAATCTTTCATTGATACTTACTCTGAGCATAATCGCGTTTTCGACGCACAGCTCATCAGTGGGCAACGCGTTCGCCTGCCAGCGCAGCCGCTCGTCTGGGTTGCTCAGATACTCGGTACGGGCGATGTCCGCTCGGTACTTGATGTTAGCGGCCGCCAAGTGTGCCGTCCAAGTCGAGAACAGACTTTGACGGTACTGTGGAGATGTGGACATAGTTATAAGTGTATTAAATCAGTAGTGGTGTTTCAGAACATCACGTGTCTAACTAAGGTACTCTACGAGAACACAATTTTAATTTTATTTATTACTTACGAGACGAGCACCAATACATTGATAGGATACTAACAGGTACGTGGATTGCTTAGGTGCTCGGAATAAGTCCTAGTTTTATTACGAGCCTGATATTGTTTTATAAACCCTTGCTCTTGAATCACTTTATCTATTGACAAAGAGTCAAAATCCGTTGCGTTGAGACAGACTAAGCGATGTCGTTTTATACTATGTAGAGATAAGCCAGGCTGTCTGAATCAGGAATTCTTACGTGAATCAAGAGAAGTCGATACGTATCGTAGCCTACGGAACGAACTGTCATTATACAGTCAGCGTCAAATAGTTCGTGACACCCAAAGTAGCCAATAATTTCGCAACACGTCTTTGTTGCAATTGGAATAAGGTTGTTTTGTCAACTTTTTGGTTACTTTGGATGTCACGAACTACTTGATGCTGACTGTACTAGTTGCTACCCTTCGTATACTTACATGTTGGTCAAAGTATCCCCCATAAGCGATAAAGGCGGCGGACAGAAGCACGTCGCCTACAATGGTGCTCATCTGCGAGCGGAACGTCTCCGAGCTAGACTCCCAACGTTCCCTTTCGATCACTAAGCTCTTGAGCAGGGCTATGGATCGGTCGACCTGTCAACAAGGAATGTGATAGGTCATTTAAAACTAGTTAATCATATTGACAGTGTTTTTTATGAGCTGTCAATACCCGCAACTCACATAGATTTATGCCGTTTTTACCAACAATCTCTAATTTTTAAGTGACCCCCGGGGTAACACATAACAGGAATTTTGTTTTCGTATGGGTCACTTAAAAATTAGGGATTAATGGTGAAAACGGGCATTAGTCTAGCAATATTAGTGCTTCGATGACTCATAAAACATTTACAATTCCAAAGGAAAAAATAAAGGGTTATGTTTCTAACCCTTTATTTTTTCCTTTGGAATTGTCTTGAAATAAATAAGTTTAGGTTTTAGCTGATTTTGGCAAAGTCCTATAGACAATTAGATTTCGCGACTGGCAAGGGAATTCAAATTCTTACCTTTGCTTGTACATTTTCCAGGTCAGTCTTGATAGCCTGTGCTTGGCTGATGAGTTGCGCGTATTCTTCCTTGTACGACGCGATGGACTTCTCCAGCTGTGCGATCAGATCACGCACTTCGTCGCCAGCCTTCACGTTGTATTGGGCCTGGTCTTCCAAAGCCTTCAGCTCGTTGCGAAGCGGTTCCACACGTTTCAACATGTCCGCGTATTCAATCTGCATGACAAGTGTGTGTTTATATTCCTTACAAGAGTATGATCCAAAATCTAAGGTTCTATTAAGACAGATTTAGCTCTTACCTGAGCAATAGCCCATTTGACCATAGGACCACAAGCCATACTGGCCCTGTTCACTTTCTCGAAGTTGTAATCCGGATTGCTCAAATAACGAGTCCTCATCTTTTCGCGAACGTCGTCACTGGCAAACAAACAATTGATTAACAACGCTCACCAAATTAAACACTGGTCAAATAAATTTCGTGCATTACGTGCAATGTCAATGAACCATACCCCTTGATCGAATGACTTTAACCCTTCCTAAATTCATTGCCAATTTCATGCAATCCTGTTTTTTTTTTTTGCAAAACCATCCGAATATTGGAAATATACATAAAGGACGTCACTTACCAAACAGCAAACAAAACTCAAGGTAAAGAATCCAATGTCTCACTCTTTATAGAAAGACACATTAGATAGCAAACGAACAAAAAAGTGAGGAACAAAAAGTAAAAAGCCAATTGGATCACTGCCGATAGTGACTTTCAACAGCCTAAGTAACGATAACATTATTTATTGGCAAATACATTCATGCACCCGCCTGACTGCCTTCGTTGCTGATTACTTTAATAGCGACAAATACAGGAAGCGTATTTTTGAATCAGAAATACAATTTGCTTACGAGTTCGCACAAATCGTATCATTATTGGCGATTTGTATGATTTCATATACGAATTATTTTGATGGTTCAAAATATGTCCTTGGATTTTACGCTATCAATTTCAGATGACATTTGTAATAAACATGATAAGTAATGGATTTCTTCGTTTATAGGTTCCGAAAAAATCAGCAAGTTTTTTATAAAATGTTAAATCAAATCTTGTTGATTACGCGAGTTTCTGAAGTGTGTTGTAGTATTAGCTGAAATATTTTAGTAAGATTTTATTACAGAGAGCTACATCAAGTTTCAGTAATTAAAGAGAAATCAATCTACTAGATAGGACAGTCTACTACTTTTGTATCTACGTTCATTCGAATTCGGATGAGTGGGTTAATAAGCCACCACCAAACATGCCATTCCAAACGCGCCTTATATCTTTGCCAAAAGGATATAAGGCACGGAAATGAAACATCATACTCGTGCACAAGCATGCTTCAAGCACAAAACATGGAAAATCTAAATATTGAAAGCGGGTTTCATGTTATTGCAGTCTACCTTCAAACCAAAAAGGGAGGAGTGTACGTGGGTGAGGGATGGGAAGGATGAAACAAGCGCGGTGCTCACGTTATGTCCTCGGTAGAGAAGTTGGAGACGATGCTGTTGATGAAGTTCTCTCGCATGATGACGGCTCGAATCGCTTTCCAGTCTGTCGCGTTTTCGCCGAGAAGTAGGCAAATCGATTCTAAGGCGACTTTCACGATCGCCGGCGGGTTGCCCATCGATCGCACTTCCACCAAGTGCTGCTTCTTTATCGATTTCACCGCTGTTTAGTTAAACGTCGCCGCCGCCGCGTCCGTGTCGCGTCCGTCACCAGCACGAAGCGAGAGCGAGAGAGTACAAAAAAAGAGAGAAACAAAAAAGGCGTTTTAGCATCTATGACACATGCGGCTGGCGTTATTATTTTACTATTGTTAAGAAATTGATAGTTATTCTTATTCAAAGAGTGAAGGCATCATAGACAACGAGTACAGCTCTGTTTTCCGTTTCGATGACCAATTAGAATATAAATCGAAAAAGAAAATGGAACTAATACGATAAGTCTAATCTAGAGCCCCCATTACATAATTTTGTAAAAACCGTAGTCTGAAAATAAGGAATAGTAAAAATGTAACAAAATAGTTAACTGTTAATAATTTTGGTTCACGACGATGCTTAGCGGGTTAGTCACGAGTACTTCTTATTAGTGTGCCTTACACAGATGCCATTGTACAATACAGTGATCACAGCGTTACGTAAAACTTCATCGTTATTAATAACAACAGTCACATAATGCAAGCGAGCTTAGCTTATTTACAAGATTATAATTATTACGGTTACAAGAATTCATGACATCATTCACAATAAAAGAAAATATTAAAATAGCCCGAAGTATGACTATTTGATTAAAAGAATATCAACTAACAGAACATTGCAGAACAATCAAAATACTTAATAAAATGTGTAATAGCTAAAAATACAACATATCATCATAATTGCATAACAACATTGTGTGTACAGTTAAAATGTCTTTGCCAATAAAATAATTATGAAGTATGCTTGCTATCTAAAATGTATTTCTATACATTCCAAAACATAATTATCCCATAATTAAGTACATACTAGCTAATAAGAAGGGTGTGACATGTCGCAATTAATGGCCAGTTATAACAATTCAATAAATAAGTAGCATTAATGTCACATTTAAGTACTTTGTCCGTATTATAAAACGCGCTCGAAACTTGATTCTAACTCAAAAGATTTAAGCTTATGATTGGTAGAATTGCTACATCTAGATCAATCACAGGCTTGTCTCTTATTCTTGAGAGTAGTTTGACACAGCTAATTTCGAGACAAGTATTTGGAGAGGTTTTACAAGTTTGTATACGTTTCTGTGATATTACTTTAGAAAACATCAATGAAACTTTGCAATATACGACACGTCACACCCTCGAAAACTGCAACAACTAACGTGATGTTCTCGGTCTCGAAGTTGACGATGGTGGATATGAAGTTGTCCTTCATGACGACGGAGCGGATGCCTTTCCACGTGTCTCCTTTCTCCCCCAGCAGCGTGCAAATGGATTCCAGCGCCATCTTGACGACCGACGGCGGGTTGGCCATCGATCGCACCTCCACTAGCTGTTGCTTCTTGATCGATCGCACCGCTGTTATACGTCTTCGAGTTTTACACTAGTGTCTTTGTCAGAAATCAGCGTTTCAAAAGACAGACTACATTGTAAATATCAAAGCTACCAATGCGAATCTTTTTGTTATTAATTTTCTTATCGCATTGCTTTCTCACTCTAACCGCTAGCATCGTGATCTTGTTGCAAGTTAAAACGATAATTTCTGACAAGAAATTATACAATTGTTACAGAAGTATAAGGCATCTTTTAGTGACCAAGTGATTTCGTGATTTTCATAATGAATCTAATGACAAGCAGTTTTGGTTTCTATCTACTAAGGGGTCTAACTAGGGGGTAACGTTATTTACTCTGAATCTCAGTAATGACTTTAGTTTTCAATGTCAGAACAAATAATTCATTATTTTATAAGCCCTAATAGGCTCGAGAATTTTATTATATTATTAAAAGCCATTACTGTGATTAGTTCAAGACAAAACAACAATTTAGACACGTATATAAGTTCTACGAGAAAGACAATGAAGACCAAACCGTTTTGCGCCTCGATGACAGCCGGCTCCACTTGCGCCAAATCAGCCATTACGTCTCGTCGCTTCGCTTCAATTTCCTTTGTTTGTTTTTCTAAAGCAACCTGATTTCAAAAACCAATTTAATATCATTTTCTTTAATACATGGCTCTAATAGAAGAATGTTTACTAAGACTGACCTGGATTTCCTGACTTTCTACTTTCTTCTTTTCGGCTTCTTGCTGATCTTTTACCATCTGCCTAAGTTTGGCGTTGGCTGCTTCATTCTTAGCTTGGAGTTCCTGAAGAATGAATGTAGTGTAAAGATTAATTTATTACTTCCAGTATGTGTCACTTGTGTCAGAAAGACAGCGATCTAAAATGTCAATATATGACAATGATCATGGGCATTGGGATTATATGTTATCCACGCGAGTTGTTTGTTTGATGTTGACTCTACATTAGAGCGCACACATAAATAAGCCGTTTTTGATCTCAGTACCAACCAAGATCCAAACTATACACTGCAGGCTACAGAATATGCATACACCTACCTATTTTTTGCAAAATTGCACTTATTACAAATACAAAAGCGATCGACCTGTTGTCAAGGAGCAGTAGGGTTGGCAGTATGTGCAAAAACATACTATACATTTTTATTGGAAATTAAACCTTAACAACTCGGACTAAATCATGTCGTCTATAAATTTTTGTGTTCGGGACTGTACCTGCGACTTGACGGCGAGGCTCTTCTGCATTTCTTCAACCTGCTCCACGGTCTCGGCGATCTTGCCCAGGCCCACGTTCAAGTGCAGCTGTTGTTCTTCAAGGTCAGCGCGCTTTTCCGCGTATAACTTCACCATTTGCTGGATGAAGTCTAGGTAGTGTCTGTAAAGGCGATGAAATACTCTCAGTATGCGTGACTAATGTGCTTCATGAGGATTAAGAATGTTGTAGGGGGCGTGACCACAGGTGACGTCACAAGTCAGTTGAGACTCGCTAGTCTCAATAAGGTATAGCCTGACCAGGAACATAAAAACCCTGGCATAGAGGCGCGTCAATTGCATTTGATAGTGCAACACTGAGTACAGTCGTACCTGTGTTAAATTAATAGGCTAACTTTATGTATCAGGATTCAGGATTACGGGCTAATTTGATATTTTCATAAATTAACGAAAAAATATTATTATAGGTAACCTGGTTTAAATAAATTAAATTAAAACATCAATCGAGCTAGCAGGATTTATTTTATTATTCATCAATAATCAAATTCAGAACTTGAATATTCAACTGCAATGTCTGCTCATGAACGCTTAAAACTCGGTACTTCTTTCCCAATTCCATAAAATTCAACACTTAGAAAGTGACAAAAAACTTTAAAATAGGTAGTTGAAACAAACAACAGCTAATTTTCATAGTGGACTGTACTATACGATAAACATGTCAGTCAATTTGACACCCTTGTCGGAAAAATTATTCAATGAAAATATTGTCCGAACCCTTAGTATTTCTCTTTGAAAAATACTTTAACACATTGTGAACCTTCACGTCACGAGCGGGCTGCAAAACTCTGAGGAGCTGATTTAGAGAAAGTGCTTGAGCACGAAAAGTTCTATTGTTCAAATGTATTAAATGCTTCTCCTTTATCATCATCGTTTCACCCAATGAAAATCTCCCGTTCTTCTTTCAGTCAGATGTCTTGCTTTCTTTATTAAGTTGCTGTCAGCCCTCTTCTTAAGCTTGTCTGTACATCGACACGCTATGCTTTACACTATGTTTGCTAGAGGACCTGTTTCTTACGCCTCATGCCACGTGTATAACTTAGGAAGTACTTATTCAAATATAACATACCTAGGCGTAATAGCCATGGTCCTGTTAGCCCGTTTGGCCAATCTTGCATTAGCCTGGTGCAAGGTCTGGTGCACATACACGCAGGCGTTGACGACGGCGGCGCGGTGCGATGGTCTCGCGCCGATCATACCGCAAGCCGCTGGGAATAGGTCTGGCGGCACGTACTCTGCCGAGTCTAAGTCCATGCGACTGGTGAACTCTTTGCCCACCTGATATGAAGAAAAAAAAAATCAATTTAGTAAATACATAAGTATTAGAAAGCCCGCGACGTGGTGTGACGGCCGCGCTCCGATCATGCCGCAAGTAGCTGGAAATATGTCCATGCGTTTCATAAACTCTTTGCCCACTTATTATGGAAATATGTTTGCGAAATTAGCCGTAAATTTGCTTCTAGCTCTTATTGTAATTTAACCTCTGTGGAATGTTACATTTGTCAAAGACTATGAAATACGAATAGTAGACTATTTTCTACGTAAATTGGGTATGTAAACGCTCAAGATTATCCAATCAATATAGAATTTTGCCTTGTCAAAAGTTGATTTTTTATTCTAATACCAGATTTATTACATTAAAAATTCTTATTGTTTTGGACTCTAACGCAAGGTGATAAAGGCCAAAATAAAAACAAGAACTCGCCTGGTACAAAGCACCGTCGCTCCAGTCACCGAACCAGTTGAGCACACATCGGTTGAATAGCGCCGGTGACGTAGCCGCGCGGTCCTTCAGGCCCTCGGAGGAAGGATTCATTGTGAACACCACGTGGAGATTGCGCATTACTTGCCCGGTGAACCTGGGGAAACGAACAAAGCCATGTACTAATACAGTCACAAAACTCAGAAACACAAAGTGAAAATTTGATAGTGGCGGCAGCGCGGCGTAGGGCTTAGTTATGCAGAGCGGACAGGAGAAGTGGAAATAATGAAATCTGATTGGTTATTCTAAACACTTCTCTGCTTCGTTCTGCTCGACCTTGGTGGAAACCGGGCCTTACGAGTAAAGACGTTTACATAGCGCTCACAATGACTGAATGAATGAATGTCGGCCGTTTGGTGTAGTGGTTCGAAACGGACTACTATTCCGGAGGTAGCGGGTTCGATTCCCGCACAGTACAAACATTTGTGTACATGAACGTATTTGTTTGTATTGGACTGGGTGTTTTCTATGTATAATAAGTATGTATTTACAAAAAAAAAGTATTTAAGTATGTTTATATCCGTTGTCTAGTACCCATAGTACAAGCTTTGCTTAGTTTGGGACTATTAAAAAAAAAATTGATGACTGATGAATGACGCGATGTGGCCGTTTACAGTAACTAAATGTTTTTCTATTGATCGCTTATGAAAATCACGACGACACGTTGTGGCAATGAAGAAAAGCTATGATGGTAGTTGGTGTAATTAAGACGTTACTTGTCGGCAGGATTGAGTTGAGGAGTGGAAGGTACATACCATTTGTAAAGTTCATCATTGGAATCGAGCATCAATCCTTCGCGCTGCGCACCTTCTTTGCATTGCGTCATCAGAGCCGCAAATTCATCGCCCTCAAACAGTCCAGGGACCTACAAAAAGAGATTCTGAGCTATGACAAATGTTTTTAAATTAGGCAACTAATTATTCAAGACTACTCCAAGGAGACTCAATACCCTTAGCAAATACATGTATATTCAAACGTTAATTTCAAAGTTTTTAAAAATCCGTTTAGTTTTTTTACCTCTCCGTTGGCGAGTAACGTGTTCATTCTCTCAAGGAAACCGCTGTCGAGCACGTTGGATTCATCGAGAATGAAGGCCAGCTTCTCATCGCGGCAGCCGGCGCGGCGCAGAACAGTACGCAAGTCCTCGTCGAAGTCAGCACCAGTGTATTTGTTGTGGACCTATTAATAAAACGTTTTTTTTTAAAGATAAAATCGTTAAAATTTTTTTGCTGTTCCAACTTTTGTGTTAGATACAACTACAACAATTAAGGTGAGGTCGGCTCCAAGAAGTAAACATGTCTTCAAAATACATCAATATGTAGATGTCTGTCTATTTGCTTTCGCTTTCTGGTTCACTCTTAGTTGGCGTAAACATAGCATGTGGGTTTCATACTAGTGTTAAAAGGTCGAATTATGAACGTACCTTGATCTGGAAGATGCTAAGTCCGTTCATCCAGGCGACGAAGCGACTGAGCGTGGTCTTTCCTGCTCCCGAGACACCAATAAGCAGGAGATGGCCCTGCGGCTGGCGGAAGATACGGTCGATCCGCAGCACGTGGTCTAATACCTCGTCGAATAGCACTAGAGGTACGTCCAACTCTTCTTCATAGAACACCTTGGGGCAAACGAATAAGATGGTCATGGTCAGTGTTATTAATAAACCCACTTACTAATAAAAAGTTACACAGTTGTTGAACACTGTTTTAAAATGACATTTCCATACTAAACGTCACTTTAAAACACTGTTCAACGAGCGTGTAAGTTTTATTAGTAAGGGGGAAAGAGTTCAATAGAGAAATCATTGCAGAAAAATAGAAATATCGTAGTCTCATACAAAAAAGGTCCCCTTATACAGAATTCAAGTAGATAGTGTATGCGTGACGTAAAAAGTAATTAACAACGTAACGTAAGATTTGGAAGTAAAATAAAGAAGTATTTCGTAGTCTGATACCGTTTTTTCTGATTTCTAAGCCGGGGTTAGTTCTTCGGACCTAAAAAAATTATAGTTACCGCTATTACAAAGACATATCAAGGTTGTGCATACCTTCAGTCTAGCCTTGACGTACTCGCGGAGTTGGTCTCTGTTTACTGGCACGTAATCTTTGCTTAGCCAGTTGCTGTAAAGTATGGGGCGCTCAAGCGCTTGGTCTCGATTTATGCCTACAAAAGAATACACGATTATTAGCACAAAGTTCTTTGAATGTCAATTCACAGTAGTACCTTTGGTATAAATAGAATAATTTCACAACGAACCTGGGAAGAATCTCATAGCGACATTGTCGATGTTCTCGTCAGTCCATTGCCTTTCAGAATCCTCAACCAGTCTGTCTTGGAATAGACGGAGTGCCTCGTGAGCCCAGAGGCGAACCAAACCTTCTACTGACAAGTTGTCTAAAGGCCTGTCGATGAACAAAGAAGTTGTTAAAACTATGTGATAAAATTATTTAGACGTAAATCATGGAGACTTTAGTAGTAGTCTTTATCTACAATATAAAAAAACAGCTTGAAGCTTGAACACAGATGCCATTAAAATTTGCAAATCAATAGCATAATTGTTCCAGGAACACTATTGCTATTTTAAGCTTGACAAAATCGTCAAGTTATGTTTTAAAATATTACCTGATGGCTTCACAGATACCGCGCACCCATCTGGTCATTTCTCTGGGCGAGTACACGTAGTGAGGTTGCATGTCTTGTGTGAAGCGTTCTTGAGACGCCAAGTACAGTTTCACCATGGCCTGGGTTAGAGGTTCCGCGTAACCACGCAGGGCTGGTTGCATTCGGAGCATTGCACGAGTGAATGTGCCATAGATCTGGGACGAAAGAATTTGTTGTAAAACAGTCCCCATTATAACGGCAAAAGGTGCCATAGATAGCTCGTAGTACTGTCGTGTGTAACACGCACCTGCTCCAATGAAGTCTCTCCAGGATAGTCGACGTAGATGACGGGCACGTGACGTAACAGCCTGTGCGACAGGGGCTTTCGGCCCGGGTCGGTCGGCGGGTTACACGCGCCCACGAACTGAATGCGTTCCAGGTGCACCCACGAGTGATCTAATAAGAGAGTTTATATTAAGTTTAAGTGTAATAAACCAACTGTCTGTGAGTCAGCACGAGTACGCACCTGGCACACAATAAAGCGAAGCGTTAATGTTTTAAGTCAACGAGAGCAGCCTGACGCGAAGCAACGTCTTTATAAAGGTGTCAAGCCTCAGAAGGAGAATTGACAGTGAGAAGGGATGGATCGGGGAAAAAATTGTAGGAAGCGAGGGATAGCGTGAAGGGAAAAGAGCATCGAGCAGTACCTATGCGTTATCCCAAATTAGATTCGGGATGTCAATGTGTTGTAGGTGTAAAATACTTACCACTAGCCCTGTAGAATCCTTTGTGTTCAAGCAGCTGTCGGAGGAAGGAAATCACACGCTGCGTGCCGTACTGGTCCATGTCAGGCAAGTTGATCTCGTCGCAGAACAGTACCAGCCATTTGCCGAGCTAGATAAATTACATATAAATTACTTAACAAAACTAGTTCAAAGATATTTTTCGAGGAAAAACATCGGAAACGGCAAATTATGTGAATGACGTTTATTTCGTAAAATGGGGATGTACTACCATACTTTTTTGTACTGTCAAAGTGCGAATCTCAACAAGCAGGGGACTATGTTATAAACAAGTCTCGAACTCTGTTGAGGATAATTTATTTGAAATCAATGCTTAAAAATGTAATTTTATAGCCAACTAAAATTAAGACTATTTCGGGTTATCCACGCAATGTAGTAAGGCCCAGAACAGACGGTGAAACGCAACTGCAACGAAACTGCAACTTTGTGATGATTCTGATGAATGAAACGGAAACTGAAAGTTTCAAACTAGTCGCGTCATGTGTGGTCTTTCAACGGACGCTGTGGCAGAAACTTAGATGCAATTCAAAAGTAACTAGCATTTGCAGTTTCGTTGCAGTCGCGTTTCACCGTCTGTTCTGGGCCTAAGAGATGAATAAAAGTTATGTTTCTTGTCTCATAGAATATTGGACTTTCAACAAACCTGCACTGGAGCGAGCACCACGCCATTGGGCGTCTTCCTATACTCGCAGTAGTGGTCGAAGGTCTTCAGCAGCAGCTCGGGCGTGGTGGCCGAAGAGAAGTTCAAGCCGACCACCTCCATGTCGGGCAGCGCTCGAAGCGCCGAGAAGAGCGTCATGGTTTTGCCGGAACCGGGCGGGCCGCAGAGAACTATGTAATACAATACATATAAATTAACATCCAATGTACTACATGATGCAATGAATAAATGAATTTGAATTTAAATAAATAAATATCCTTGGACATTTTACACTGCGCTTCTAGTCCCAAACTAAGCAAAGCTTGTAACTATGGGTACTAGACAACGGATATAAACATACTTAAATACCATTTTTTTTCATACATATTATGTTTTTCTATGTATAATATTATTACGGTTTTCTATGTATAATATGTATGTATTTACAAAAAAAAAAGTATTTAAGTATGTTTATCCCGTCGTCTAGTACCCATAGTACAAGCTTTGCTTAGTTTGGGACTAGAGGCGCAGTGTAAAATGTCCAAGGATATTAAAATTAAATATTAAAATTAAATTAAACTAAAATTATACATAGAAAACACCCAGTCCAATACAAACACATATGTTCATGCACACAAATGTTTGTACTGTGCAACCTCCGGAATAGTAGTCTGTTTCGAACCACTACACCAAACGGCCGACTATCAATAACTTTAACATTTGTGGTTTCATTTTTTGTAATAGTTTTAGGATTGATTTAGGTTTGTAGCTTGTTTGTCTATCAATTTATAATAAAACTTGTGTGTTCCAGTATTCTTTTCTTCTTCTTGTCGTGTCGATAACAAACAAGAGAGACGTTGTCAGTAACCTTAGGGGTTAGAATAATGACTACTTTCATCACTAATTAATTTCAGCTAATTGCTTTGGAGCGTCAAAGAAAATGTTCCACACCTTTTTTCATACAGGCAATGTAGTTATCTTGAAGTCATCGGTTTGTCGCTATTGAAGATGTCTTATCAAAACTACCGACGATTTCCACTTAGAGCTCATTTATTTCACGTTTAATCAGTTCTGCAATATACTACAAATTATGGCCGGCCCTAACCATTTCAGGTTACAATATTTTTTTAATATAGCCGTTATTAACTTATTTTAAAGGCGATGAAATCTTACCCAGTGGTTTGTGTTCAGCCAGCCAAGTGTACAGCAAGGCTTCATGGCGCACCGTGTCCAGCGTTGGAACAACTACATCTGGTGCGGCTACTTTGTGGGTCTCTACCTCAATCTGCGGCACCTTAGCCGACCACGGCACCCATTCACCGGTTATTGATACCTGTTTACAAATGAATATACTTATGTAGCTTGCAAGGAAGGTATAATAAAATTAACCACCATTTGTTGAACATAAAATGGAAAATGTTACCTCAAAGTCGATTATGTGCTGATTAGCACCGCAATTGGGCAGCTGCATCGTGCTTGCAGATCTAATGAAGTCGCCAAGTTCATTGCGGTCCTAAAAATAAAGACACGATTTAGTAACACGATCACTTGGATCAAGTAATAACTTTATTACACGCGTTTTAGAACAATGACTTGCCTTCAATTTCGCGTCACCAGCGAACGACCATAGCAGTGAATACACAAGCCATTTAGGCACGTATGCTTCCAATTGCTCGTTAGTAACAGGGAAGTCTGGGTGCTGACGGTTGTATCCCAGAATGTTCCTGGAAGAGTACTCGATTATAGTGTGATCTGATCAAAATAATTTAAGATAGATATTATTAGTAGTCCAGTTTACCTCACGCCACGGTTCAACATCGAGTGTAGAGATGAGAGAGCCCGGTGGCGGGTGAAATCCATGATATGGTCTAGAGAAGCAGCGCGCTCTAGACACTTGACTACAAGACCATCGCCGAAGAACAATGGCTGTAGGATCGCGGCTACATCTCTCTGGGTCTGTACAAATATTTATATTGATGACATGCTTATAATAATAATTACAAGGGTGGAAAAACATATGAAGGGAAGACGATAGTGACCTGTAAAGCTGGCGAAAGGATGTTCTCTGTAGCATTCTGATCACCGCCAGCTGTTGGAGCGGCCATTACGATGCTGAAGGAGTCTTCTTCGCCGTCCTCCAGAGGAATATTCCTTAGTCTGTAATAATGGAATTTATTTAAAAAACTTTGTTCCTATTCAGATAAAAACAAGTGAAACAACCTATGAAACCAATACAAACCTCATCAGGTAGTTTTCGAAGATCATTTCGGTGGTGAGCACATCTTGCGAGAACCAGACCATACCACAACGCGACACGGTGGCCAACGTTGCGTATTTCAGATCTTGCACCTGTAAAATTCAATCATCACATTGACTAGGAATTAAAACCAATGTTTTTACTACAAGCAAATTCACGATTTTGTAATGTACAAAATAGAGGAACTGTAAAAAAGCTAGCTAGCTCCATTCTTGGAATAGAAGTGAAACTCGGATCATGACTGCGGGTAGATGACTATTATCGTCTATGGCGCACGAGTTTTAGTTTTGAAACAGTTTCTTACCTCAAACATGACTCGCACGTTAGGCGGCAGAGACAGACGCTCTCCGTTGGGAAGCGTCAGGAGTTTGTTGTCATCCAACACAGAGTTCAAGTTTTCTACCCACTCGGGGTCCACATCGCCGTCGAATATGATCCATTGACGCTTGTTGATTTCACCACGGACGTTGTCGATGATTTTCCTATTTGGAGTTGAACATTACGATTAAAATCATTTATTACGAAGCGTAGTTGAATCATATGCACAGAGTTTATGATAGATAAGTTCAATATCGAACTAATGGATAATTTTACGTATCCTTTACCTGAGTATGTGGGTGAAGAGACCGTCAGTCCATTCACGGGTGTTGGGGTCAAGTACACCGTACAGAGTTTCCTTCGACATTGCCTTCGGGTCGATTACGTGCGCGACGCCTTCCACACCCTCGAATCTATACAAAAGATTAAACATAGCTGTACATTTTCCAATCTTAATTCATAGACAATACATTTTAACACTGATTATAAACAGAACAATTATTTTATAAGATCTTAGTCCTACCTTTCCAAAGCCTTGAGCAGTACGCGCCATGCCGTAGACTTTCCGCTTCCAGAAGGTCCGACCATCATCAAACCATGATTGAGTTTGCATATTTGGTACAGTTGTAGGACCTACACACATATTTTTGATAATTAGTATTTATTAAAGTCAGTTTCATAAGTCCAGTGACTTATGAATTGCACTGGACTTATGAATAAACTAATAACAAATAGCAGAAGAGTTAGCACGTATCTTTGGCTTAACAGACAGTATACAATTACGTAATGAATATTAGACTTTTTAAGGCAATGTAGAGTGCTACCATCTAATGAAAAATGAAATGTGTTGTACACCTTATTGGAGAAGCAGCAACAGGTAGAGTTAAAAAATATTAGGAGCAGATTTTTAATATTTAAAAAAAGTATTTGGAAAACAGCACTCAAGTAAATTCTATTAGCCTTTGACTAAGCTATCGTAGTAAAATACAAACCGCAAGCTAAAAAGAACTAGCAAAACTTCCAGGAACACAACATCATAATAAAAAGAGTATTTTGCAGCCAGATGCGATATTGAAAATATTAAGATTTAAATGCAGAAAGAATTGAAACTAAGCGACAATAGGTAAAGTTGACCCAAACCCTACATATTGAAACGACCATAACCGGCTGCAAAATACGGATTTAGCCCAACAAGAGAACGTGACGGTACACAGTGCAGTGACGAACACAGACACAGAACATAGAACACAAGTACACAGTGTGATGTGAGGGCACGGAGCGGGCGCCACTGACCTTCTCTATCCAGGTGCTGTGTTGCGCGCGAGACGCCGCTCCCAGCTTCTATGTGCCGTTAGCGGGTTAGCATGGAAACGCATATGCATTCACACTCACGTACTACTTATGATATTCGTACGTTGCGCTCGACAACTCTGGGTTACGATGTTATACAAACTCGAAACGATATCGTGAAATCGTTATCGTATACATAATTTTGAACAAGCTTTAGAACTTTTAATGCAATATCTAACTGTCAAGTTGAGATCAAAAGAACTTGTATAGATTTTATCAATCAATACAGTAATTTATAACTGCATATAACAACGTAGGCCAGCATTATCGAAACAAAATAAATATGATAAAGCAAATAATGTTAAATTGTTATGATTATGAATTTATAATTTTAATATTGTTAATTTATCTTCGCACATCTTAAAAATATGATGTTACACCGTCACCTTTCGGTTAAAATGGTTAAATTGTTTAATGGTCATGTTGTGATCGGAGACGAAGTGCTGAACGGAATATCCACTTGTGCATTATGACGGTCCACTTGTGAGATGAACATTGGATCTTAATTGATAAAATTAAAATCTAGCTGGAATAACTTTGATGGAGTAAATTACATCGAATATTGATCAATTTCCCAATTCTAGCATTAAATTGTATGTAGAATAATAATTAAGACATCGTAGTGTACCTTGTCCATCCAGGTAGATCCTTGTTCGTCGCCTTCTCCGCATACGAGGAATTCCTCAGCGCATACAGCACGGATTTCGTTCTTCAAACCTTTAAAAAATAGTCAACGTCATCATTGAAAAAGTATAATTTGGCAATAAAGAGGACAGCACGAAAAAACAAAGGAAGGATTCCAAAAATTTTAGGCTGGGTTGCACCATCTTACTTTGACTTTAACAAACGTCAAAAATCTGTCAATCTCCATACAAAATACGCCGGTTATCTTTATAGTCACGGTTAAAGTTAGATGGTGCAACTCAGCCTTAATCTTTTAAAATGAATGTAGTTGCTGACCAGTCATTTCAGCCCTGGTGTATCCAACGTTAGGGAACACATCGTTGAGAAGGGAGAACAGTAGCGGGATGTCTTCGGCGACCAGTTTGGGCACCATGGTCTCGCAGACTGATTGAATCAGGATGTCTTGTTCTGGCAGCGATTCTGCTATGGATGCCTCATCTGGCACTTCGGTTCCACGTTCAATAAGGTTCTCCTACAAAAAACATGGATTAACATCTTTATCTTTAGGATATCAAGGAACGTTGATATATTATGGATAGAAATGTGAGCTAACCTTGATTTTCTGAATGCGGTCACGCTTGACGTTACCGGCAGAAACGAGCACAGATTTGAGAGCTCGCAGACCGAAATCGTAGTGAGATTGATTCGACAGTTGCTCGTCGCAAAGTCTGAAAAAAGTATTAGAAAAATTAGTCACACGGAATAATTTCAAACAGAAATCAAATAGAGTCACAAGTCTCTGCATTGGTTCTCTCCATCAACCTATGTTAGATTCACAAGAAAATAGATTCTACGTACTTGAAGAAAGGCACAATCTTGCACGCCAGCTTCTCAGCGGTTCGGAACCCTTGGCTGAACAGCATGACCTCAGCAATGAGTTGTCGGTCGGGCGTGGTCATGGCCAGACTGCGGAACAGTTTCTTCAAGTTGTCGGGCAGGTTGGAACGACCCGCGTATCCAGGGTTCATGGTGATGAAGATGGCCATGTCCTGGCTTACACGCACTTGCTTGCCGACCAGTTCCACTGTGATAGATTTGGCTGAAGAAAAACACGACGAACGTTAGATATCTCATAAGTTTGGTCATTATGAAACTATAGTTAGCATTTTTGTCTATTGCCAATAGCACGTTTACTTCGCCATGAGCCTGGTTTTGACAGTGAAAGACATTATTAGCAATAAATAGTCAATTTGTTTACCTGTATTGTCTCCCTCCTGATGACTCTTGAGGGCTTCTTGAATGGTTTGCACTTGCTGCGATACGGCTGACAACATTCTCTCTTCGAGACGATTGAACTCGTCGAAGCAACCCCAAGCGCCCACCTGCAAACGTTATTATTTTCATACCAATCTTTTTATACCACGGTCAATAGAAACTAATGCAGTTAATAGCACATCAGACTGTGAATTTTTAATGCAAATTTACTCCTATTACAGCTACATAAGTCACCTTGTCTTACCTGACAAAGACCGACGAAGATACGACCCATGGCTTGGAAGTCAAAGGTCTCGTCACAGTTGAATACTAGCACAAAACGACCGAGTTGGTTTCCGAGTGCTTTTACAGACTCCGTTTTACCGGTACCAGCCGGTCCTGAAATTAAAAATAAAGTTAGTAACATTTAGCGTTAAAAACTATCTGCTCTCATCTCTTTTGTACTGTATAGTAATAAAATTATTTATTCTTATCTTTGATGTATCTAAACCAATTGCATAAATTAAATTAAATAAATTGCTACACATATTATTATAATACACACAACACTCCACACACAACACAATACACTAATTCACTCAATACACCACTCATAATACAACACACAAATTCACTCAATACACCTCAAACACACTAACTAAGAATGTATGTTAATACTTTTGGAAGAGCGGTAACCTCCTACTACAGGTATTCTTATACTTAAAAGGATGGTTACCAAAATACTTTGTGCATCAACTTTATTTATAAAATAAAACATTTTCATTTTTTCAATTAGAAAGAAAGAAAGCAGTAAAGAAAGAAAGAAAGAAAGAAAGAAAGAAAAATCTTTATTTGACAACTTACTAGTAAAAAATAAATACATTCATATCATTTTAGATCACAAACATCAAAAGGAGAAAGAAAAAAGGAAAAAATAATAATAAAGTTGTCAAAAAGTCCACCCACTCAGTGACGTCTTGGCCCCTCTGCCAAGACACTGATTTTCAGTGGGCGTCTTTTTGTACGTAAGGGCAAATTATACAAAATAAAAAGAAAATTGCATTAAAAATTAAAACATTATAAATTAAAATTAGTTAAAATAAAAAAAAACCAAAAAAATAAAAATTGGAGTAAAAAAAATAAATAAAAAATACAATAATAATAATAAAAATAAGAACATGGAATGTAAGTGAGTCAGTTTCCTTACCAAATGGCGATCCTCCAAGCCTGGCTTCCAGAGCCTGTGTCATGGTCAAGTAGCATCGGTCTGTTAGAGGTGTCTGAACAAGCCTATCTTGGACGCCCAAATACTCGAAGCCGTAGAGGAATTTGGCGTTGGCCATGTGGATTGTAAGTTGTTGGAGCACCTAAAAGCGACAAATTACCATTAAAAGATAATTTATGTTAAGTTATGAGAAAAACCAGTTCAGTTTCCCCCGTTCATCGTTAGAGCGCTTTCACATTAGGGCATTAGTAGCGCGACTGCAGCGCGGCAGTGGCGTTTTTATAATATGAAGGCATGCATCCGTTGTCACATAGTATGAGACTTTCGGCAACGCATCTGTCGCGCGTTCGTCGTGCTGCTTTTACGTTTCCGAAATGCTTTTACAAGTTTACAAATTTTTAGCTCGCTATACTTACATCGTTATTCCTAGGATCGAAGTAGAATCGCATCTCGCAGAGCCATTCAAAACTGCGTGGGCTGTTCACATCGGAGGCAATCAGACGGCGGGTCACCGTACGCTTGTGTACAAACTCGTTGATCTGTTGAAAGAAAGTAAATATATTAGTAACTACACAAGAGACAATTAAATGGCGGCGCATAATTGGGAAAGCAGACCTCACGTAACGGGATAAGGCGAGGCAGAAGAAGTAAGTAACTACACAAAGTAAAAACCATTCCTTTTATTAACAGGCCTAATAAAATATCGAAATATTTGGGACACTTGTTGTTACCGCAACACGTCTTTGTTACAATTGGAATAAGGTTGTGTTGTCAACTTTTTGGGCGTCACGAACTATTTGATGCTGACTGTACCTATTCCCTATGCTGTGACGTACGGAACTCGTTCGGTATTCGGTAGAAGGTTGCAATACTTTTATACCTAAGAAAAAAATACTAAAATTTTAAAACATTTTTTCCGTTTTTATTGACTCACCAAGTGTTCAAGTTTCCTCCTCCTCAGCGGAGGTTGTTCCTGCAGCACGGAGTCAGCTAATATGTTTAGCATGTTCTCTACATGAGCCAGAACTCGCTTGAGGCCGTCTCCACCACCGCTGGCCAGCGCCGCTTCCACGTCTTCCGACCAGAGGATTTGAGCCGCTAGCACCACGATTTGGGCCTGAGAACGTAAATTAAGTGGTGTATACAGGTTGATTATAAAAATGTTCGTTTGTTTCTATCAAAGTACATCTAGACGACTGACATTAAAGACTGCTGGCAAAGGCTTCACCCAAGAATTTCCACGACCACGCGTCCTGTTCTTCCCGCAACCATCATCAGATTGTCTGTTCAAAGAGTCACTGAGGCCGGTCTACATTACGTCTTCTGGTCTGTAGTCGCCACTCAAGAACTTTCCTACCCTAACGGCTCTTAGTTCTAGCAGCTATGTGCCCCGCACACTGCCCCTTAAGTTTGACAATTTTGCGGGCTATGTCGGTACTTCAGTTCTCCTACCTACGGAATGTCATCATTTCTGAATATGAAAGTGAACTCTATGACAATTTCGTAACCTTACCTGATACTTATCGCACCACTCAATAAACTTGGTTGGGTCAACGTTCCCATCTTTGAATTGTTTGACGTCTCCTACAGCGTCTTTCAATCGGCAGGCTAGGGTCACGCGCATCTCACGCTCCACCATAGACAACCACGAGTTGATCTTCGGATTCTCTATGGTCGACACTGGCGAAATGAAGTACACCTGTGGGCGAAGACAATTCATGTTTGTAATTTACGCATAAAAAACATGTTTTTAAAAAGGAGTTACTATCACATACCTCTTCGCCCTCACGAGACGCTATACCGTTGATGACAGTGTTGTCTTCATTCAGGATAATGGCGGCGACTCCAGCGAACATTTTCTTGAAGTGCTTCTGCAGGCGAGCTATGTTCTTGCTGTTACCGATAATTTCCAGCAGATCTTCGTCACCCACGAAGTAGAATCTAAATAAAACATCCCATTTATTAATAAATAAACATACTAAATCCTGGTCCGTGAGCACGTAGAATTTTGTCCAATGACCCCAAGCTACCCATCCTTATCGCTCGCGCGTAATTATATTGCTGTCGCGACTGTGCGACGGGCACCCGCAGTGAGTGTGCGAGCGCGACAGCAACATAATTACGCGCGAGGTCATTGGACAAAATTATACGTGCTCACGGACCAGGCTTTAGAAAATAAACATTAAAATTAGTACACAAGGAAAAATCATATTATGTATTATCAAATTGATACAGCAGATAAAAAAAAATTCGTCAGTTTCTGGCATGTTAACTACCTTTAACTTGTATTATCTATACCCTCCAATGAGGGATAATCGCCTATGAAGCAATCTCTACTATCATAAATATATTAATTCAAATTATTACCGTGGGAAACTGCTTCGTTCTCTCTCAAGGTATTCTCCGAGCGCCTTCTGAATCTTGCCGAGCAGGTCAGCTAGGCGTTCCAGCGAGCGTTGTACCCCCGGGATGTTTAGTACGTCCATGACCATTGGCGACTTGCCCACTTTCTTCATCAGTCCCAGGAATTCAGAGCTATGGGAAAAGAGAAGAAGTTATAAAATTATGTCAAAAGCAAATAATGAAATAAGAATAGTAGGAAATCTAGAGATATAAATTCGAGACCGCTTATTCACGGTGTGCAAATCGACTCCCTCGAGACAAAACTTGAGTCAATGAGGGCTATCGTTTTAGCGCTCACCAGTTAGCGCCACTGTAGAGTAAGGTCCTGTCACTTGCTAGTAGCGAAGACAGTGGCACCAACTGGTGAGCGCGAAAGTGGTAGGAGGACTATCGCATTTGCACTCATCAAGATGGCGCCACTGTAGAGTAAGGTCCTGTCAATCGCCAGGGGTGCCAACTTTTAAGTATAAAAACGATAGCCCTCATTAACCCGTCGAACGATGATTCTCGTGCATATGGCTGTATTCCGAATTAAAAATGGACGCTAAATCTGTTCAGGTTAAGCCCTTATCTAGTGTCTGACTAAAGTGGTGATTGGCAGGAGAATCGCCCTTGTAAACGATGTAGATTTAACTTACCTAATGCTTTGGAATCTGCTTGTCTCAACCGGCAGCAAGGTCTTGATGTCAGCTGATCCGCTGAAGATACCTTCGAGGTACACCCAGCGGCGTTGGACGTCGATCCACACGTCAAATAGGGCGTTGATACGGTTCAATTTCTCCTCCCAAGTCAAAGCTTCCTCTTCAAACACCTAAGAACAATTGTTAAAGAATAGGTAGTTTAATCGAAATAGAAATAGGGTCTAAATTAGAGCAGCACAATGATTGTACGGCAGCTGTTTGGCATAATTAGAGTCAAAGACGTACCTTGTAATACGGAGAGAGCTTCATGGCAGCGACGCTGTTGATATGCTCCTTGACCTTGTTGAAGAGATCGTCCCAACCGCGGATGATCTTGCATTTGTTCTGGTAGTTGATTAAGTCCAACTCGTAACTCTGCCACGATTCTCGGACCTAAGAAAATACGCATGTATTTTAGTATTGTAAATAAGTGAGAAAATGACTTTCCCAATCCTATTGGATTTTGGTTACCCACATTTGAGTTTTGCAATTATAACAAATAGGTAGTCACGGTCACTGATAAGGGCTAGAAAGATTAATGACTGTAATACACAAACAAAAACGCTTAAAACTCGATTAAATATTAGTATCCTGTTCTGGTTGACCTTAATATTCATAACCTAATCAATTAAAAGCTTTTATTATCTTTGAAATTGAATCCAGTTTTAGACTCGACCTTAGGCATCCTGATAAACATAGTTTTCCAAATCAAGTAGGACATTATACACATTTGTTTTTCATACCTGTTTCAAGAACTCCTCCAGCGCCATCTCTCCTTGGGCAACCGAGACGACATCTTTGACCGTATGCTCGTTGTGAAGCAAGTCTGCGTCCCACACTTGGCCAAGGGTCAGTTCGGATAGCGACCAGTCAACCTTGAGCGCGCGGCACAACTGGCGCCAGTGACGCTCCTTGAGCGCGTCGGACTTCAGCTCTACGATCAACATGTTCACCTGGAAACAAGAATGTCAATCGTTTGGTACAATACCGAATTTGCGCCGAATAAAAGATGTAAAGCGGCCCTGAGACGATCAATCGCGATTGTCAATGTATTTACGTTATTGACAATTCCAATTGACGGAAACGATTGTCAATGGCTCAGCTAAACGATCAATATTAGCTTCAATGGCACCTGTCAATTGGGCTTCAATGAGGGTTTTCGCAAATGAAAAATCCGCCAGATGGCAATACGTAGACGGGAGGTCCTTGTAAACGATCATGTCAATTGTCAATCACGTAAAATTGACAATCGCGATTGATTGTCTCGGGGCCGCTTAAAGGTTGGGGTAAATAAAACAATTCTTAACAGTAAGTGCAGTTACAGGTTTTGGGCATAACTGAGTCAGTGACTGAGTGGCACGGGATGGGTGTCATATGACGTGACAGAGCATACAAGCCCGAAGCACATCAGATGTCTCGCTGACGTTCGACGTCACAATAACTCTCTCCCGTGCCGCTTCCAAACCTGAGGAACTGACTCCAGTTATGCGTTGGACCTTATGATTTAGCAATATACGAGGACACACCTTTGTGTAAGATTGCAATAGCTTGCGGACGTATTCGTAGCTGTCGTACATTCGCAGACGAGCCGGGAGTTCTTTCAGCTCGTTGAGCATAGCTTCAAGTTGTTGCCTGAAACAAAACAATCTCTTTATTTCAAAAGATTCTTAGTCACAAATAAACAATTTAAATACTATAAATCAATGTAATACCATACCGTAGTTTTCTAGGCTGCACTGAGAGCCAAGGCTTTTCACGAATATCGTCGATCTGGGTCCAGATCTTGCTAAGCGATGACCACACGCCACGCAAGTCTTGCAATTCTTCCAGGGCCACGGTCATTCGCTCGTTGTTCACTGAGGTACCTAAAACATACATGTGGAAAATCAGCTGAGAACTTTTAAGTCTTATTGCTGAGAACTTAAGATTTGGAAAACAATGGTACAGCAAAGTTCATCCTGTATACAAGTTTCATACCAGTTTCATGCAGTTCCAGGGCTTCCTTAGCTTTAGCAACATTGTCTCTTTCATCCTTGAGCCTGGTGTATCTGGTTTCCATGGCCTGCAGACGGGCCAGAGCATCTTCGGGTCTGGTAGACCCATCAGTGGGCTTGCTGCGTTCCCACTCAGCCAGAAATTCTAAAGTACGAGCTTCTACCGCTTTGTCTTCGGCTACAATCTTTTGCTGGAGCGATGCCACCTAAAAGACATGAATGTTATAGAAAAGTACTAACAATAGAGCAGTTATTACGATATTCATTAACAATTTGGCAGATGTTTACCTGAGTTTGAATAGACGAGTCCTTTCTGCGCATAATCTCGTTGAATGCGCTCCATTCTCCTTCAATATTATCAACATGTAGCCATTGGGCTGGGAACTGGAATCTGTAATAAATAAAAGGGTGTGAAAGAGACAGATTACAGACAGATAGGATGACCTGAACGTACTGTTGCTAATTTGTTCCCTATATCATGTGTCTATAGAGTTCATATTCCCCAAATCGTACCTCTGTCTTTCGAGGATGCGCTGTGCCTCCCTGTAGACGTCCACCTGCTTCTCCCAAGCTAGCACTTCTCGCTTCAGCTGTTGCACGTACGTGATCAGCGACACGGCATCGCTGGTGGATGCAGCCTCTGTAACAACATGGTACCGTTAATTATACCAGAGAAGTGTGAAAATATGAAGAGTGAAATTATGACGTCGGACTCGTATTTGCGACAACTCATCCTGCAATTCAAATAAAGTTTGCTACTCCTGCCAGCTACGCGTCGAAACGAGCGAGTGGAACTGAACCTTTCTAAATGGCACGTATCATATTTAGTGCGGTCTCTTTTCGTACGTTAGGCCTCAGCCTCGAGTTTAGCGGGCAGCGGGGCGGGAGCGGCGGCGGCGCGGGAGCGGCAGGATCTTATGCGTTAAACCAAATAGACCGGTTCTCGAAAACAGCAACGCGGCTCCGGAGCGGGCAACAAGCGGGCAGCGGCGAGGGAGCGGGCAACGAGCGGGCAGCGCACTCCTTCTTTTGCCCACAATAAATAGAGCGTTAGGAATAAATTTGAATCGAAATAAAATTGTCGCTGTTGTTCAGACATTTCGTTTGCGAATAAAAACAAATATCTCGACAACACAACCCCGAACACAACACTTCGCCGCTATGGCGCCGCGCGAGCTGCCCGCTTGTTTCGAGAACGGGTCTGCGTTGCTCACCCCGCTCCCGCGCCGCCGCCGCTTCCGCCCCGCTGCCCGCTACACTCGAGGCTGAGGCCTTAGTGCGCGAAGTGAAATATTGGCTAGTACATTGCAGGCTAATGATTTATTGAGGGATCTATACCCCACCGTATCAGTTGCGCTCTATTTGGCGAGCTGAGCGAGTGGAATTTTCGATGCTCTACCCACTCGCAAGGTTATATGGACTGACATGTAATGCGACGCAGTAGCGGTCCGCCCCGGGTGCCAAGCATCAGGGGGTGACACAAGTCGCGCAGATTAGTACTCACTGGCGCATCTGCATGGCAAATCTGCGGTCTATGTCATGATAAGGGGGGGGGGGGGGGGGGNNNNCTCAAAATCCTGCTGGGTACCAGGGGGTGCCTTAGGACTTATGACGGGGGGGAGGGGGGTGATCGCCCCGGGTGCCAACCCATGCTAAGCCGCCACTGATGCGACGGCTATTTGGAATCTAGAATCTACTTTATCTCAGAAGTCCCTACTCACCGATAGTCTGCTGCTCCAGTTGAGAACGCGACTTGGCCAGCTGCGAGTGGAATTGAACCATCTCTCCACCCAGCAGCGCTCCGAATTTGCCCAGCACTTCCTTATGCCACGCGTCGTACTTAAGGGCCACTTTGCTCTGCACACGTGCGAAGTCGATTACCACTGGTCCGTACTCGCGACGAGTGTCTGAAGTGTCGAAGGTGGTGCGAGATTTCCTGAAAGGTGAAGGTTGATTAAGATAAGAAAATGCAAGGAAACCTCATTCTGAAAACTTTCACTTACAGGGCAACTGATAGCACTGACTAATCAAACTGTAAGCAATAAAATGTTTATTACTTTTTCGTTTTTATAAAAGGTACTCACTTGATGTCATTCAAGCACTTGATCCACAGTGTAATATCTTCGCCAAGACGACCGTACAGACTTTCTGGCTGTAGATCCCACAGAGCTTGGTAGCTGTAAATAATAATAAAAACGTAAAGACGCCATATAAATATCCATTCATCAATAATTCAAGTGTTATCAAAATAAAACAAGTGCCATACCGCAGCCATTCATCGACGTATTCACGGACTTGCGAGATCTTCTGTTCGATGGCATCGTAGGCGTTTTCAAGAGGCGACGACCCTCCGGGCAGTTTGGTGAGAAGATTCCTGTACGTAGCGGTTTGAGCGCGCGCCACGCCTACTTGATATCTGCGTAGGTAAATAGATAACTTAGGTATATGGACACGCAACGAATCAAGTATGTATTTCTTACCAAAGTCAGATGTTTATTTACCTAGTGCTTTGCAAGCGATGTTGGCTGGTGACAACGGCCTGCCACGCGAACATTTGACGCATCAGTTGGAAGCGAGCTTCTTCCAGTGACGGGAAGAGATACATCTGCTGGTTTGTGATGCGGACTTCGTGGACTACGCGGGCGATCTAAAGACACAATATCAAAAGTAATTAGTATGAAAATAATTCAATATAAAGTTATTTTATACTGAGCAACTTAAGGAGATTGTAAGAAGATGGCAACAAAAGGAGTATACAGAGGTTTTCAATATAAATGTAAATCAAAATATCTCATTACATAAATTTTTGCGTAAGCTATAATCCCGTAGAAAGATGTTCACTCATTACAAGTCACTCTGTATAAGTGAAGAAAGGTTTATATTTAAGTCCAAAGGTTAACTTACCTGTGGTTCTCCACCGGGTTTGTGGGTAGGCTCAGCGGGGGAATACGTGTCCATAGACAGATCGAGCTCGTTGGTCTTGCCCAGCAGAGCAGCGGTCCAAGCTTCAACGCCAGCCTGCAGACGGGCTGCAAGGCTTTTCTCCACCTATTGGAAGCATCATAGTTATTATAGGAGAAGTTGTGCAACAGAATTCTGAATTTGTCACATCTTTTAGTGATCGTACGTAGCCCAGTAGGAATTTCGATGTAAAAACTACAATAAGACTACATTTTTGTTGTAATGTAACAGCGCCTTTTACAACGTAATGTAATCTTACTAATATTATAAATGCGAAAGTTTGTGTGGATGTCTGGATGTTTGTTACTCTTTCACGCAAAAACTAATGAACGGATTTTATTCAAACTTTACAGTATTATTGTTTATAACTCAGATTAACATATAGGTTATAATTCATGACGATATGTGACAAACTAAATTTCACGCGGGTGAAACCGCGGGCAAAAGCTAGTGTAACATAAGATGCTGCAATGTTTGCCCTCATGCGCTGTCATCCTTACAATTTTATGGTTGCTTTTTCTGCCAAAAATTCTGTAGGCCCAAATACTTTAATCAATGCATAAGTCTGTTTTTGTTTTAACCAATGCATCTTATTTTAAAGTTTCTAAAAGGGCTCACCAGGGCTTAACACCTTTTACATACCTCTTCATCAAGGCGCTGCACCCAAAGATGCAAATTGCTGTACTGGCGCAGAGACAGATCGTCGATGGCTCGCTGCAAGCGGCTCAGAATGTCTGCCAAGCTTGTAGCCGAGTACGGGCACGTTTCGAGCGAACGAGCGTCCACGGAGATTTGTTCTTCTACTGCTAATAGATCCTCAACCTAGATAGGAAGGACATAGGGATTAATTTTAATAAGGAAGGCAACACTAACGTTTTTTAAAATCTAATAAAAAAATGTAATATGAAAATATGCACCACTTTTTGTAGTGGACTGTTATTTAAACGTTTGTTGGGTTTTTATTACCAACAGTCAAGCTAGCAGCGGTGGGAACGAGAGGTGGGAAAAATCTCGTGTTATTTAAACGTTGATTCTCATCTACTATTTCTAAAAGATGATGATTATTTTATGGGACAACCTCTTGTTTCCCCCGAAGTAACACTTATATTTGTATAGGTCGCCAACTGGCCTAGATTATATCTTGTTAAACTTACCTTCTCTTGGAACAGCAGTACGACTTCGCTCAGTTTCTGCACATACGGGTCCAGTTTGTATGACTCCCATACCAGCGCCATGCCCTCGGATACTTGGTTTAGAACATCACGACGCAGTCCAGCCACTAGCGGGATAATCGATGCTTTGTCCCGGATCTAGAATTTACCCACATTATTACTGATCGAAGGTGATATTGCGGTGCCACTCCGCGTTTGTTTTCGGCGCTATCTCTCTCTTTCATTCTTATCAAGACATTATAGTGAGTGAGTGCGACAAACAGCCGAAAATGCGTAAAGCAGAGTAGGCCCGCTGCTGGAAAGGGATTAGCAAAAGGTTTTGCGAAAGGACTTCGTAACCATGCAAGGTATTTTATTTACATGGATGTCTTTAAACCATCTAAGGCACTGCTATGGTATACATTCGCTCGTTATACATAATCCTTACATCATTACATTAACAGACAACAGCAAGTTAAAAAGCGAAGTATGTAAGCTGATATAGTCGAACACAAATGTAAGCAGTAGGTTCCATTTCTGTATGACCATTTCGCTTTGGTGGTATCAGTCTGCCGTAAAAGCATTTGGTAAAAAGAAAGCACTTATTCTGTTCCAAATAAAAGTGTACATAAATGTGCATTAAACATAAAATAACTTTACAGTATTCGGAACCATGCAGCGTATAGTAGAACTACCTTCGTATGATTCCTATTATTTAGCTGCATAAATAAAAACGCACTCGTGTTAGTGATCTTATACAAATAATATATCTGTTAGTGTATTTATAATGTTGTTTTGTCGGAGTCTGGTGTTGGTGTGCCGTATTTATTGTCTAGTGGTGCTAGAACATTGCTGCATAAACCTGTGAAGTTATGGTTTATTTGATCTAGTCTAGGGTCTATAAAGAAGTGAAGTCAACATACCTTCTCCAAAGTGCGTTCATAAGTGCGAACACTTTCGATGAGTGATATAGCGAACGGGTACAGTTGGTTGGCTTGGTGAGCCTTATTGACGATTGCCAATGGGACTCTGAAAGGACATGCCCAGTTGTAGTCTTTAAAATTTTCCATTTATGCAATTTTGAGCTTTGAATACACTAGGGATCAAAAATGGAACTACTTGAATTGTTTGAAAGATACGCCCCCGCTATAAATGTGTTCTGAGTAGCAAAGTTGGCGCGCAAATTGTTGCGGCTGTACGTAAGGTTGTAAGATATTGATCAATGTTGTAGCTCCTAGTATATCCAAGGCACAAAATAAAATAAAAAATTGTCTATTAAAATACCTGAATCCCAAGTTCTTCAAGTTGCGCACTTCCTTGTACAAGGTGATAATCTCTGGCAAAAAGTTAACTTTCAGCTTCAGTATTGTCCCAGTTTTGCTAGAGCGAGCCCGCACAGATTCAATAGCAAAAATGCGGCCAGTCACACCGAGGTTGCGTTGTTGGACCTAAAATAATAACAACCATGTATTTATTTATTATACAAGTTAATCTAATAATAATAATAAAGTTGTTGAATATTTTCGAATATTACCTTGCGAGCCCAATCATCAAACACTTCCTGGGTATCTAATTTCAGACGGAAGCTGTCCCCATCTGCTTTCAGCTTTTGACCCTCAATATGGTTTTCCCAACCCTTGCCTGAAAAGTCAATACATAGTGTCATAAAGATTTTAGTACTTTTTAATTCAGTTGTTTTAATAATTAAGGAGTCTTACCGAGGACATCTTCAACCCTCTTCAAGTAAGCAGTGAGTTGGTGGTCGATTTGCTTAGCCCAAATGATGGAACCAGCCACCGGCGGCAAATCTCGCACCAATGATAGACGACTGCACTTAGATTGGGGGTATTGGACCTGTTAGAAAGAAAAAGTTTTTTTTTAAGAGTTATTATTGAATACTGAACAGGTTCACTGTATGTATTATTATTTATTAAATGATAAAAATATCCTGGGACATTTTGCAATGTGACACCATCATGATTACCACCCATTTTTTTTAATTAGGTCTGCAAAACTGGTTTTACAAAGTTACATACATAAAATAAACTTAGTTGGCATTAATAATGTAAACCACGGTCACAGTCTTATGTATAAGGCAGAGTTGTACCATTTTACTTTAACTTGAACAAACGGCAAATCTGTAAAAACTCCACACAAAAAACACCAGTTTTTGTTATAGTTACGGTGTCAAAGTAAGTTGGTGCAACTCAGCCTAAGTTTTTCTACGAACTCTTCTTACAAATAATAGCAACAATGCACTTATTTCAAACAGTCATTGTCCTTTATTTGTTTAGTATATGGTAAAAGAAAGAAATACATTATTACAAGTATCATAATACTATGTAATCGTGAAATAGAATAATTAGCTATATTTATACCTTGAACTTCTCATGCAGAGCCTCAATATCGTCCTTCACGCGCTGAATGAGTTGAGTCTGGTACTCGCGTATGGCGCCGCGAATGTGGGGCCGCACGAACAGAGCGTTGAAACGCGAGAAGATGCGGAACATTTCGTTGGCGTTCTTGGCTGTGCCGAGTTGGTCGCGGAGGTGAGCCGTGATGCGGGTCTCGACGCGATCTGAATGCAAAAATTTAAATTTAATAGAGTTAGAATAATTTATTTGCTTTAAATGTGGTGTTAAGACGCTTTAAAAGTTTGCTTATGCTTCAGAAAATACGAATCAAAAAGAATGTGTCAAAACGTCCCTACAAATAATAACGACCAACAGATTGATATGAATCTCAGTATGTGCATCTTAGGCAGAAGATTTCTTTTTACTATGGCGACATCTTTCAAAGACGCGGGATGTGTTTATGATTTTCCCGTTATTCTCGTACAACAGAGATTCTAGCAGAGCCATAAATAAATAAACAAATAAATAAATCTTTGGACAATTTCACACAGCGCCAGCTAGCCCCAAGGTAAGCAACTTAATGCTTGTGTTATGGGTGCTAGCTTAACGGATATACTACTTATATACTTTTTTTTTAAATACATAAATATTATACATAGTCACACCCAGACCCGTCACAGAAATTAAAATTAATCATTTCAATTTCTGCCCGGCCGGGAATCGAACCCGGGACCTCTCGGCATAGTAGTCCGTTCTGAACCACTACACCAAACGGCCGACAAAAAAAACAAAGATTCTCGAAATAGACTAAATGAAACCCAACTTTGCTCGAAATATCAATTGAAAGAGAAGAAGCTTCCCTTTTCTTTGGTCATCTAATATTAACACGAAAATGGAAATAAATAAATGGGAATGCGTTAAAACATAAATAAAAACATACCAATTCGGTCTTCATAGCGACGTACGGCTGCTTCCCACGCGTCACAGCCCTCTCGAGATATATCCAGGCAGTCCACTTCTTTCACATTTTCGTACGCCAGATTCACCTATGAACAATTTGTATGTAAAGTTTGATACACTTCGATACTCAGATGACAATATTGGAGTGTCAAAAATGACACTAAAGGCGTTGATAATAAAGGTGTTATTTGTACAGTACCTCTGCAATAGCGTTGGCATCGGCAGCGTCCATGGGTAGGGAGTGAGGCTGGGCCGGCTCGCCGCCAGCGCCGGTTTCGGCTGCCACGGTAGCGCGAGGGCGGAGTACCTGTTCAAACATACATTTTAATATTTTTGTATTCAAAGGGAATTGAGTTTTAGAACTTTCAAAACTTTCGGTTTACATTGTGCACACAGCAAACAAAGAAGTCAAAGTGGTTCCTAAGGTTGATAACTACAGTTGTCAAGCTGCCCCCCTGGAAATCTCGCAGAGTCGCTTTGAAGCTGTAACTATGACCTGCCTTCCCTCTGGGCCAGAAGCTAGGTAAGACTTGCTCCCCCTAGGCCAGAAGCTAGGTATGACTTGCCCTCCCTAGGCCAGAAGCTAGATGACTTACCCGCAGCATGACAGTGCGCAACTGCTCGTGGTGCCTGCGGAAGCGGCGCATGTGCTCCATGCGAGCCTGCAGCCGCTTGTGTGACGGTGACACGCGCCATACCATCTTGAGGTGTTCATCTCGCTTCTTCTTTACTATGTCTCTGTAAAGGTTGAGTACCATATGTTAAACTGACCATAAAGAACATAAGGGCCTGCAGAAAAACTCGCGGTGAGATCCGCGTGCGCTGCTTATGTCAATTTTCGATAGTAAACCGCGTACGTTAACGTGGTGTAAACGGTTAACAGTGTGGTACCCAAGAGATAGCGCCAGAAACCGAGGTCGCAAGGCTTTAAGATGGGAGGATGAATTGAGGTTGACCGCAGGACCTCTATGGATGAGAGTGGCGGAGGACAGAAGGCAATGGAAGGAGTTGGAGGAGGCCTTTGCCAATAGGCACACCGAAATCTTAGACATTTTGTGAAAGTTATTTTAAGTGAAGCATTTGTTCTATATAAGTGTTATCCTAAATTCAGAAAGCGTCAAATGTAAAATGTAAAAATGTTTCGGAAATAAAAGGCTTATTATTATATTATTATTATTATAAACCGCGTACGTTATTTGTGTCGGCTTTAAAATGTGAAAATTCTGATATCCACTCTGGATAATACTTATACTGAATCCAATTAGAATTAATGGAATAAAAACCTTTGAAAGAAAGTATTATGATTGAAACCACACTTATTTGGTAATAAGTTTATTGTGTAGGCTTGGTAGCCATCAAGTGAACAAGTAACAAAAAGGCGGGGAAAAGAATGACATCTGTCAATCAACATAACCTCACTTTTTACATACACTACATACCTTCCCCCTAAGTAAATACAAAATGCTATATTAAATAACAGTTTTAAACTATTTAAAAGTTAAGTCACAATCCCAAATAGACTGGACAGGCAAAACAATGTTTACTACTGTAATCTAGTAATAGAAATATAATGTCCAAACCAAGACAATTATCATTTAACCAAATAAACAAACATATTATATTATTTATCGACAAATAATAAATTGTTGCATACTAGCATTAATTAATTAATATACAATGGTTCAGAAATACAATTAACAGGTCTTGTATAAGGAGTATCATTATGACTCCTAAGTTTATGTTTAATTTTACCACCACAGAATGTTGTTACAGCGGTGTCAGGGATGCCTAACATTTCTAACCACTGATCTGTGTTAGGTATCTCTATTATCTCTTCCTCCTCTCCTCTCTCTTCTATTTGATCGTCAATTTCTGTCTGGTTGCTTTCATTATTTGCTTCATCTGGCAACTCTTCTATATTTTGTCCCTGATCTTTGGTTTTTAACAGCTGATCCATATGTCTATTGACAATATTACCATCTTTTGTTTTGATATCGTAACTGACTGGGCCATTCACACTGACAACATTTCCAGGCAGCCACTTAGGGCCAGTAGAATAGTTTCTATACATGACTTTGTCACCAATCTCTGTTTTCCGGTTAACTAGACCTTGATTCCGTGCAATTTGGTTTTCAGTTTGTGCTCTGCTTATGTTGTCAGGTTGCACGGTGTCCAAAAGTGTACGTAATTTCCTTTTCAGTAACAATTCTGCTGGACTTTTATTGGTTGCTGTACATGGTGTGACTCGAAGACTTAACAACATATTGGCCATTTTTAAGTCCCACGGTGTATTTTCCTCCAATTTACGCAACTTATTTTTTACGGTTTGGACCATACGTTCCGCCAATCCGTTTGTGGCCGGGTGGTATGGTGCAGTTGTTACTTGTCGGATGTTGTTGGCTTTTAAAAAATTTCGCGTTTCTTGCGACACAAATGATGTACCATTGTCTGAGACTATTGTTTCACATAACCCATGAGCACAGAATAACATGCGCAGGTGCTTGATAACTGTTTCAGAGGTCATATTATTAACAATGAATACCTCTGGCCATCTAGAGTAGGCATCAACAACAATCAGAAAATACTTATTTTGAAATGGTCCAGCAAAATCTACATGTATTCTAGACCATGGCCGGGTAGGTGTTATCCATCTCTGATTTGTTTTAGCTGGCATGTTTCTGTTTTCTAGGCACCGAACACAACCCTGTACCATGTGCTCTATGTCATTATTCATCTGGGGCCACCACACATAGCTGCGAGCAAGTGCTTTTGTCTGTACGATACCACTGTGCGTTTTGTGTAAGGCTTCTAAAATGTGCCCCTGCAATTGTGGTGGTACTACCACTCTGCAGCCCAATAATATACAGTCTTGTGATTGTGATAGTTCCGATCTATGCACCCAAAAGGGTCGGATTTCGTTGTCAATGCATTTATTTGGCCATCCTACACTTAGATAATGCATCACTTTTGCCAAGGTCTTATCTTTTCGGGTCTCAATTGCCAATTTCTGTGCATCAAATGGAAACTCTTCTGGTGTTTCTGCCAACAGTAATATCTCTCGAGGCACCTCCTCCGCCTGACTCTGCACTGGCTGTGGCCATCTGCTCAGTCCATCAGCATTTCCTATCTGTACTCCTGGTTTGTAAATAATCTCATAACTATGAGATGTTAAAACCAAAGCAATTCTCATAAGCCGAGGTGACAGCATGGCAGGCAATGGTTTATTGGGGCTAAAAATACCCAACAATGGTTTGTGGTCTGTTATAATTGTAAAGTGTCTTCCCGTTAAATAATGATGAAATTTGTAAATACCGAAATTTATTGCTGCAGCCTCTTTGTCTAACTGGGAATATCTTCTTTCATGAGTATGAAGAGTTCTGGATCCCATAGCAATTGGACGTTCTTGTCCATCTTCCATAATATGTGATAATACTGCACCAATGCCATATTCTGNGTGTGTGTGTGTGTGTGTGTGTGTGTGTGTGTGTGTGTGTGTGTGTGTGTGTGTGTGTGTGTGTGTGTGTGTGTGTGTGTGTGTGTGTGTGTGTGTGTGTGTGTGTGTGTGTGTGTGTGTGTGTGTGTGTGTGTGTGTGTGTGTGTGTGTGTGTGTGTGTGTGTGTGTGTGTGTGTGTGTGTGTGTGTGTGTGTGTGTGTGTGTGTGTGTGTGTGTGTGTGTGTGTGTGTGTGTGTGTGTGTGTGTGTGTGTGTGTGTGTGTGTGTGTGTGTGTGTGTGTGTGTGTGTGTGTGTGTGTGTGTGTGTGTGTGTGTGTGTGTGTGTGTGTGTGTGTGTGTGTGTGTGTGTGTGTGTGTGTGTGTGTGTGTGTGTGTGTGTGTGTGTGTGTGTGTGTGTGTGTGTGTGTGTGTGTGTGTGTGTGTGTGTGTGTGTGTGTGTGTGTGTGTGTGTGTGTGTGTGTGTGTGTGTGTGTGTGTGTGTGTGTGTGTGTGTGTGTGTGTGTGTGTGTGTGTGTGTGTGTGTGTGTGTGTGTGTGTGTGTGTGTGTGTGTGTGTGTGTGTGTGTGTGTGTGTGTGTGTGTGTGTGTGTGTGTGTGTGTGTGTGTGTGTGTGTGTGTGTGTGTGTGTGTGTGTGTGTGTGTGTGTGTGTGTGTGTGTGTGTGTGTGTGTGTGTGTGTGTGTGTGTGTGTGTGTGTGTGTGTGTGTGTGTGTGTGTGTGTGTGTGTGTGTGTGTGTGTGTGTGTGTGTGTGTGTGTGTGTGTGTGTGTGTGTGTGTGTGTGTGTGTGTGTGTGTGTGTGTGTGTGTGTGTGTGTGTGTGTGTGTGTGTGTGTGTGTGTGTGTGTGTGTGTGTGTGTGTGTGTGTGTGTGTGTGTGTGTGTGTGTGTGTGTGTGTGTGTGTGTGTGTGTGTGTGTGTGTGTGTGTGTGTGTGTGTGTGTGTGTGTGTGTGTGTGTGTGTGTGTGTGTGTGTGTGTGTTATATGTGTGTATGTGTTGTGCTTTGCTAAATTAAATCTTCTGTTTCATTGTAATTTAGATCTAGAAGCTTCATTTTTGTTATTACTTTGCATAAGGATAAGGGTTTGTCTCTGAGGTCGCACAATTTGCATAATTTGTTGTAGGTGTTTGGTAATGAAAAGGCTGGGCTACGCCGAGACATCAGAGAGCGCAACTGCGGTAGAGGGACTTTATATACTCGTTTTGAAATAACGTCTTTATAGTGTGGGTGAGATTGTAGGCTTCTATGCGTCTTGATCATAGCACTTAAGACAAATAATTGTCTTACCCGTAGTACGCCAAATTCCCTGTAAAGGTCGTCTGTGGGAAAACGGAAGGGTTTCTTCAGTGCGACCTTGATGAGAGCACGTTGAGCTCGCTCCAGCTGGATGAAGAAAGTTTTACCAGCACTGCCCCACACAGCAATACAGTATTGTATGATTGATTGACACAGGGAGATATATACTGTTTTAAGAATGTCTGGCGGGGAACAGTCTCTGAGTCTTTTCATAACAAAGATTAGTTTCCTTACCCGGCCTGAGAGTATCGATATATGCGTTTTGTATGTTAAGTTTTCGTCCAGTGTAACTCCAAGATACTTCATTGTAGAGGTGCGATCAATGTTGCCACAAGAACAGTTTGAGTTTTGTCCCAATGAACAGCTATGCACTCGGAGGGTCAAAGAGGCAGGTGGGCTAGCCACAATGGTTTTTGAGAAGGCCAAGTATTTGGTTTTTGTGACATTCATAGTAAGTAAGTTATTATTGAAAGCCTTTGCTACCTCGGAGAGACCCTCCTCAGCAATAGCGTAAACGCTCTTCCAGTCGTCGCTGTGAAACAAGATAGCTGTGTCATCTGCATAGGCTATGAGGTTAGCGTTTTTCAATTGCAGTTTAAGTATGTCGTTCAGGTAAAGATTGAAGAGAATAGGCCCAAGGACGCTACCCTGAGGAACTCCAAAGTCTGCCCGCTGTTGTACGGCGTTGATGTCCATTGGTTCCGCCGGCGGCGGCCCGGACGCTGCATCCCCTTGGATTATACGCACATCCCTTCCCGCACTTTCAGATGTCAACATTGCATCCACTACGTCCTTGTAGGTTAACGTATCGCGCTTTAACAATTCATATTGTAACTGTTTGTTGTTCATGCCGCAAACAAGTCGATCACGTAACATACGTTCCAAGTCTGTAAATTTACATCCAACACTAATTGTCCTCAATTGCGCTATGAAATCGGATGCCGATTCACCAGATTTTTGATTGCGATTGTAGAACTTAAACGATGTCGATATTTCGTTTGGTTTAGGACTATAATGTTTGGTTAGAATTTGCACTATGTCTTCATAAGTCACTTCACTGCACTTTTTTGGAGTAATCAGAGCTAACACAGTCTCAAATACTTGCGCACCACATATTGTAAAGAAATTTGCTCGTTTAATTTGGTCCATGAGGATGCCATTCGCCTCAAAACAAAAGTTCAACCTATCAATGTAATTGTCCCAATTGTCTGTTTGTGGATTGAATTCACGGAATTTCACAGCTTTGCGGTCCATTTTTCCTAGTCGTCGCCACTATTATGATTGAAACCACACTTATTTGGTAATAAGTTTATTGTGTAGGCTTGGTAGCCATCAAGTGAACAAGTAACAAAAAGGCGGGGAAAAGAATGACATCTGTCAATCAACATAACCTCACTTTTTACATACACTACAGAAAGAAAGAAAGAAAAAATGTTTATTCAGTATCATCGACAATACACTTGCAATACTTAACATTATTTAATGAGAAGGTAATTACAATGATACTGAAAAGGTATCCACTCAGCATGGTGTCGTAGCATCTCAGTAGATAATGCCACGACGCTGGTCTTCCGTGGACACCCAAACACATGACACAAAACTACACAAACATTCTTGGTCATTCCATTTCGCGATCGTAGATCTATAGTGACGTCACATGCTAAAACATTTTAGTAAACTTACCGCAGCAATCCCTGCAACTTTTCGTACTCGTCATCCCAGCACGAAAATACTTCAAAGCACTGCGTCATTACGCGTTCAAAATCTTCGAAGGGGATATGCATAAGACGTCGAGTACCCAAAACCTAGAACGAACAAGGATATTAATTTCACCCTTTATTAATGAACATGTAATTACGGCATGAACAGTATAAACACTTTAAATTATTTACAATACAACAGGCTTATAAGATATCTGCATCAAGCTGAAGAATATGTCGTTGTTTATAAAATAGATAATAATATACCTTCAGGAGTTGCTGCCCAAGGTCACGAGAGATGGCTTCCACTAGCCTCAAGCCACGCTGTATGGGGTATTTGGTAGAGCGAATCTTACGGAGATGGGAGAAGATTTGCTGTACAGCCAACCTATGAAAAAAAACTTATTAAATCCAGTCTAAAGAAGTCAAAAGAAGGTTTCTAAACAAAACACAAACAGCTTACCTGATCCTCTCAAGTTCGGTGGCGCTAAGAAGGTCATTGATGGGGAAGTCCTTCATTAGAGGATTGTAGTCGGAGACTGTAGCAAGTGCCTGCTTTAGGCCGGTGTCTGTGTCGAAAGACACAGTGGCATGGAACCGCTTTCCGTACTTCAGGATTTCGAGGGTGAGGGCAACCTACAAGAAAAATTATGTAGTAAAATATCTTTTTTAGTTGCTTGTTGTTTGAGATGTCTGAGAATCTTTCTAATTACTTACCTCAATACTCTCTCTCTTCTCTTGGATCCTGTGGAGAGCCCTCTCCAGGTTTAGCCAGAAGGAAATTTCCTGTAATGCAGTTCCATTGGATGGGTCTCTGTCTAGCTTGGTGACCTTTTGTATTTCTTTGATCCATCTATTGACTCCATTCTGAAGTTGGTTGAGGAATGTCGAGTCCTCAACCTTGTCTCCAAAATCAGCAACACGTGGCTTTCGACCCTCATCTGCAGCTCTAAATAATTTAAAGTTCAGTTTAGTATTTTCATAAAGTTTCAGGTATAAAGTAAGTAAACATAATTTTTTAAACACCTTACCTTTTAATCACAGCTGCCACTAAAGGATGGACTGGTAATGTAATCTCTGGGATATCAATGTTTTGCTGAAGGTGTAAGAGACCCATTTCTAACTCTGCAATTTTCTTTTCAACAGATGGTGCCATCTTGTCTCCATCCCTAAAATGTTTAAATTTTTTAATATCTGTTTTCTTGTTTTATATTCCTGAAGACCTACTGAGGAAGGGTGATTGTTGTGCAGACTCAAATTCTAATAACTCCAGCAAATGTCCCAATTCCTCATTATTTGATGTATTACAGGTGTTATTTTATATTTTTACATTATATGCATAATTCAACTAACCTATCAGCCCTTCCGCTTTCTTTCACATAGCTCTTGAAGAAAGGAGCCATGGTCTTGCTAATAAAGGCATGGAGAGTCTCATATGGAGAGCCATCGGAAAGGTTGATGAGTCGCAGCTGGCTGTGAATAGATTTGTCAGCCTCGATGACTTGGCCGCGCTTGATGCACACAAATGCTGCCACTCGTGGAGACGTGAAGTGCACCTAGTTGAAAATATAAAATTGTATAGTAATTTTTCCAGATAATCTGTTGCTTTTTCATTCAATCATTTTAGGATTCTATAATGTTAAGATTATATCTGAGATGATTTGAATAAAATTCAGATAAGTATCTGCTTTATTGCAGTTGTGATATTAATATTTTTTTATCTGAACCAAATGGGCAAGTATTTTTTAAAGTGTAAAATCAAACCTCATTGCTGATCTGATAGGTGACTGCTTCTTTCTCTTCTTCACCTTCTGTTGGCTGTTCATTGTCATCCTCTAAAGGAGAATAATAAATGGATCAATAAGAGTAATAACAGCTATCTGTAGTGCTGTTCTTTACTTAGAAATATGTGAATACTATGTCTCAAATAGGTCTCAATCAGAGGGTTGATTAATGTAATCTAGTTGGAAAAATTCTCTAAGATAGTGGATAAAATGGTATCCTTCCGTTTGGCCAAATTACTTTTCGCCAAATTTCACTTCGCAAACCACTTATCGCCAAAGTTTCATTTCCCAAATGAACTTTTAGCAACTGTACTTTTCGCAACTAATTCATTTGGTCAAATTATCATTTGGCAAAATTTTACTTGGCAAATGTTTATATAGCAAATGTTTTATTTGGCCAAATATTATATCCCAAATAATTTGTTTGGTCAAATTGACACTTCACATACTTACCCACCGTTACCCACAAATCAAAGCATAAGGCAGATGATCATGGTTTTCACAAGAATTTTATGTAAAACAAAGAGATTGCAGAAAATAGTATGGTTGCAGAAAGTAGGTATTGCAGAAAATACTAGGTTAGGTTAGGTTAGAACAGTGACCCTGAACGCGCGAAGGCGAGCGAACGGAGCGAGCGAAGTGAGCGTGCCGCGGCAGCGGCCGCCGAGCGCTAGAATCAACTCTATTGTTAATGAATCATTTGGAAATTTCGAAAAAAAGAATGAAATATGAAAATTATTTTAGAACAAATTTTATATTAACTAAACTAAATAATAACCACAAGTAATTTGTATTTTAATCTATGCACCAATCAAATTATTTAGTAAATAGTTTATCGTGAAATATTTTTGCCAAATGAAACATTTGGCAAAACATACTTTGCCAAACAATAATTTGCTAAACAATAATATGCCAAAAACTTGGCAAATGTTTATATAGCAAATGTTTTATTTGGCCAAATATTATATCCCAAATAATTTGTTTGGTCAAATTGACACTTCACATACTTACCCACCGTTACCCACAAATCAAAGCATAAGGCAGATGATCATGGTTTTCACAAGAATTTTATGTAAAACAAAGAGATTGCAGAAAATAGTATGGTTGCAGAAAGTAGGTATTGCAGAAAATACTAGGTTAGGTTAGGTTAGAACAGTGACCCTGAACGCGCGAAGGCGAGCGAACGGAGCGAGCGAAGTGAGCGTGCCGCGGCAGCGGCCGCCGAGCGCTAGAATCAACTCTATTGTTAATGAATCATTTGGAAATTTCGAAAAAAAGAATGAAATATGAAAATTATTTTAGAACAAATTTTATATTAACTAAACTAAATAATAACCACAAGTAATTTGTATTTTAATCTATGCACCAATCAAATTATTTAGTAAATAGTTTATCGTGAAATATTTTTGCCAAATGAAACATTTGGCAAAACATACTTTGCCAAACAATAATTTGCTAAACAATAATATGCCAAAAACTACATTTGCGAATTAAAAGTTTGCAATAAGTTGTTTTGCCAAATGAGAATTTGCCAAATGAAAATTTGCGAAACGTTGTTTGGGATGTGATAATTTGGGAAACGTTTTTTGGCCAAACATTAGTAATCCGGATAAAATATTATGCCTTTTAAGACTTTTAAGTTGTATGTTCATTCTTTAAGTGTTTGAGATTGCAGCTACAATAAAAAGGAAATGATCAGTTGAGCCAATCAGTTTTTAAAGTTATCTTTAACGATACTGTATAGATTAATTTATAAATTCCGTAGTAAACAATTAATTAATTGGAGAAAATGATTCATACACTTCTTCGTTATGCATTGTAGTCACGCACCTGTATTTATGACATCACACCTGACTTTTTGAGGCTCGTTATACAGGGTGTTTGGCGCATCGTGTGCCAAAATGATTTGGCGGATAGAATGGGTCATTTCCTATATTTTCAGCCCCCATAACACGTTCCATGCCAGGCGGCTACTTTTATATTATTTTTTTTAGTAATTTCACCAAAATACCCAAATCGCATCATTTAATTTCGATTTAAAAAAAAACTAGTAGGCTTAGCCTCAAAGTAAATATTTTGTTTTGACGTGCATTGATGTAGGGTTGCATCAAATCTAAATTTACTAGCAAATATCATCCAGTTTTTTTTTAATTCAGCTTTGAAGTTTTCCTAAAAGTTAAAAATGGACTGAACATTTAAGTTTACATGGCTATAAAAAAATAAATAAAAGAGATAGCGATCTTCGAATTTTATCAAAACTTCTCTAGTCTATCCCCATTTAAACGGTATACTAATCTTGTTTAAATAATAACAATAACTTCACAAATTCCTTAAATTAGTGCATTGACTCTACTCGGACTGATTTCCGAAATTTGTGTTTATAGCCCCTTTTGTGTAAATAGAACGTTATTAAACACCTAACAGGTAAAAATTATTTATCTTATGCAATGTAAAAACCTTTACCCTATCGTTTTTTAATGTGGATTTCTTGAAATTAAAGACGAAAACAATTATTTTGATCGTTTATTAATTATTACAAATTTTGTTTATAATGACCGTCTCGGCAACGTATACACTCACGACATCTTCTTCTAATTTTAACTGTTGTCGTATGCAGCCACATTTCTCTTTTTATTACTACAAAGGCGTTTTCTACTCGTGGATTGGAAGAGATGGCCCTATACAGTGGCCTGCACGTTCCCCAGACCTAATTCCGTTAGATTTTTACGTCTGGGGACGAGCTAAAGAACTGGTGTACGTAACGGATTCAAACAATAGAAGAACTACAACAACGAATAGAAAACGCCTTTGTAGTAATAAAAAGAGAAATGTGGCTGCATACGACAACAGTCGAAATTAGAAGAAGATGTCGTGAGTGTATACGTTGCCGAGGCGGACATTTTGAACAAAATTTGTAATAATTAATAAACGATCAAAATAATTATTTTCGTCCTTAATTTCAAGAAATCCACATTGAAAAACGATAGGGAAAAGGTTTTTACATTGCATAAGATAAATAATTTTTACCTGTTAGGTGTTTAATAACGTGCTATTCACACAAAAGGGGCTATAAACACAAATTTCGCAAATCAGTCCGAGTAGAGTCAATGCACTAATTTAAGGAATTTGTGAAGTTGTTGTTATTATTTAAACAAGATTAGTATACCGTTTGAATGGGGATAGACTAGAGAAGTTTTGATAAAATCCGAAGATCGCTATCTCTTTTAAAAAAAAAATTATACCCATGTAAACTTAAATGTTCAGTCCATTTTTAACTTTTCGGAAAAGTTCAAAGCTGAATTAAAAAAAAACTAGATGATATTTGCCAGTAAATTTAGATTTGATGCAACCCTACATCAATGCACGTCAAAACAAAATATTTACTTTGAGGCTACGCCTAGTAGTTTTTTTTAAATCGAAATTAAATGATGCGATTTGGGTATTTTGGTGAAATTACTAAAAAAATTAATATAAAAGTAGCCGCCCGGCATGGAACGTGTTATGGGGGCTGAAAATATAGGAAATGACCCATTCTATCTGCCAAATCATTTTGGCACACGATGCGCCAAACACCCTGTATAGTGGGTAGCAGAATGCAAATGTATCAAGAAAGCGTATAATCACCTTTGGACGAGAACCGCTGCACATACAACGAAGACACCTGAGGATCCGAGGCAAACTTTCTAATGCAGTCTTGGTTCACTTTGTCGTCAAGAGCTGCGTTCAGCGCCGGTGGAACGATGTCATCCTCGGGCAAAAGTACCGTTGCAGCTCGGCGCAGGTAGTTTGCGAAGTCTTGGAAGTCGACTAGCACGACGTTAGCCGCCTCAGGCGTATTTTCACTCCCGTCAAGGGAGTCTCCCATGTTTTTGTATGATTATAAGCAGGTTTTCTAATAAGAATCGATAATTAATCGGATAAGCCGTCGCAAAGACAGCTTCGCTGCAGACGGCAATTTGACAAGTGAAGTGACAGCTGGTCGATGATAGATGACGCATCGCCCAGTGTTGCCATTATTAAAAAAAATCTTGCTCAAGAGATTAAAAAGGTAACGGTAACGTTACTAAATTAAGATATATTGTTGTTTAACTAACGTTCGAATGCACTCTTGTCTTGTGACGGGTACGGAAAATGGTTCTAGGAATATTTCTAAGCAAAATGTATGCCCAAGAAAAAAGGCGTTTACACTCCTAACAATTATAGAGACTATTACGCGTGCCACCGCCGTTTCAGCACTTTCAGCCAAATGACGTCCATTGTTGAACAATAGGTCTCCCCCAAGGATTTCCATAACGACCGGTCCTGCGCTGCCCGCATCCAGGCTCTTCCCGCGACCTTCACCAGTAGGTCTAAGATGCGCGCCGCGAAAAGCGGTTACCACGCCATTTTATCGATTATTCCCATACATTTTGACGTCGATAAAAGTTATCACGGCGCGCATCTTAGGCCTACAGATCGTCGGTCCACCTAGTGGGAGGTCTGCTCACTTAACTAGCTTACTTTGAATAGATTGAGATGCCAGAAGCACAGGGATGCAGATTATGAGCTAAAAGCGAGCCTCAGAAAATAAGAATAACTGACTAAAGTTTCAGATTATTATTTCGTTATTTTTATTAGGTCCCTGGCATGCCGCAAGTGAAGCCCGCGAGTCGCAGTTTGTGCATCAATGCCTAGCATCTACACTGCTCAATGAATTAAACTTAGAATAATTACAGCTCGTACAGCGAATATTTTTATTAGGTTGATTCTCATTTCTCATTTTGATTTAAGTATACCTAACTATACCTTAACATCTTTGAGATATTTTCCGGTACGTGGCCTCCACTCCAGAACTTTGCTACCCCATCGGCAGTCAGTCGAAGTTCGAGCTTCGAATTCGTTTTAATATTTGATAAGTAAAATTAAAATGATACTTACTTATTACAGGTGAAGCGAACCGGGAACTGAAACAAATTAATTCAATAAACGGCTCCTTTTGTAGCCCTTTTCAGTGGAAATTAATAACAAACATACCTACTGAATAAAATTTGCCTATTCATCATTCGAGGAAAATCTTTGTTCTAAATATAACTCGTAGATATTTATACTAAGTTCAAAGTAGAACCCATTATAGACTAGCGGTCCCATATGGTACCACTTTTTTGTGTGTTTTAATTTGGCTCAATAAATTAACACGTGAAAAGATGCAGTGCTCTAATTGATGCAAATCGTAGCCAATAGATATGGTCTATGCTAATAGGAATAAAAATTGACAGTTATTCTTTTCAGTTGTGTGTAATTGATGATTGAAGTGAGCGCATCAAAATTTTCTCTTAAAAATTGACGCGCCATAAAAGTAAGTAATCATATTTTTTTTGTGTGATAGTGAAATACTTATTTTGTTACAATCTTGTATTCTCCATAAGTGCTTTTATTGTGAAATGGTGTAAAATTACGTCGATAGGTAATAATAATGGGAAATATTGTATGTCAAAATTACTGGTACCATACGGTACCGCTAGCCGCTTACCGTGTCTTTTTAATTATTTTATGATTTTTAGTTTTTACTGTATTTATTGGGAATTATGTGATATATTCAATGGTATATATGGTATATATGGCATACAGGAAGATAAAGTAAAATAGTTTCCTATACTTTACAAAAGCATGGGTTTTTATTTATTTTAGATGTAACTTTCACAAACATTGGCAGTTTTGGAGGACGATGAAGGTCCCAAGACGAAGCAGAAAGGAGACTGAAACTTTTGGGCCCTAAATGTAACTAGTTGATATATGGTCTAAAAAAATGGTCATATTTTTCCATACTAAACTACAAAAAATCAGCCTATTTTTCTTTCTGGAAACTGTGTAATAAGAAAAACAAGATTTTTAAGCATTTACTAGTAAATCGATTAAAGAAGTATCGATTTATGTAAATGAGATCACACAATAAAATAAAAAAGGCACGCTTGCTTTATTTTAGGCGAATTACGTAAACAAAATAACTAATTGCGTTGTTGCTATAAATATATTGAATTATTTTAGCTCATAAAACATTTATTAAATGAATAAAAAAAAAACATTTAGTTTAATAATCGATTTTTAATTTAAATCGATACTTTAAAAAATCTGATTTAGTCTGTGCACTGAAACTGACAGCTGCCTGTCTATTTCTCTATGGATCACTCGTTTCGTATTTTTCGTTTCGTGCGTGTGCGTTTCGAGTGCTTTTCCTCCTATCTTTTTGTTTTTTCGCCGACCACTGCTTTGTTTTACGGATTTTGACCCTACATGCATTGCCTGAACGACCCCTGCTTTCAACCTGGACTCTGGATCTTGCTTACACGTCTGACTTGGAATGTTTACTTTGGACTTTACTACCGGCTTAAGAACTGGATATTGACGCTATGGATCGCTGTGTAAATTGTGGAATAGACACTAGTCGCTGCAATGCACTAGGCAGACGATCCCTAAACGATGAGTCTACTCTGCATGTGATTCAACAATGGCTTGCACCTCAGACTGTAAGTTCAATAAACAAATCATAACCTAACTCACCAACTCGAAGTTTTCCATCGCTACTAATGCTACTATACTTTGAAAATACAATACATTTATTTGAATGCTGATGGTTATCTGTTTACATTTTACTGAATATTATTAAAATGTATTCTAGTACAAAATAATTGCTGTCAGTTGTTAAAGAAATTGATTAAATGAATAACTACTATTTTTGCAATAAGTCAACACTTTTCAGTAACGTGCTATTGGATACAGTAGTAAACCATTGTACTTAGTGATTTTATTAACTGTAAACTACTGACATTTTAATAATACTGTTTATCTTTTTTAGGTTAATAATAGTGACTATGTTTGCCAAGCATGCTGGGACTTGGCTTAAAGCCGATATAATGATGAAGAAAGACAACTTGGCCACCATAATGTTTGTCTTCGCTGTGGACGTCCTCTTGCTTCAGCACGAGTTACTTATTTACTCCACACTAACTCCCATCGAGAACTGAGAATATATAATGTTATACGAGAGTGGATTACCTATACCTCGAGCTGTAAGTTCACTTTGTGTTTTTAAAGCATTTCAAATAAATCTTAAAAGGTTTTGCCCTATTGTATTTATTTTATGTTTAACTCTTTTAAGTTACTAGTTAATCTTGCGCACATCATGAAAATGAAATGAAAAAATATTTATTTAAATAGGCACAGGTTACATTTTGCATTACAAAAGAATAAAAGCAAGATGTGTTAACAATATGAGTAAAAAAAGCAAGATGTAGTATCAATAACATGTATGAACATTTCTACTTACAAGCTTAATGAATATGATCGGTATCGCAGGACATTGCATAAAAATAAATAATAAATCTCTTTAGTATTGCTAGTCAAAAATTAAACCCGAAGTTCAGGACACAACATAATTATCACAATAATTATGACAGAATTAATGATTATAAATATGTTTTACAGGTACCCGAAGATGGTTGCATATGTCATACATGCTGGGTGGCTGCAGACAGAGCTGCTGTCCATATGATCTCAGGACCATCAACTTCATCCCGAGGAATACCCCCTGAAGAAATACAGCCAGAGACACAACATCCAATTACCGACTCTCGAAGTGGAATGGAAGCAATACTAAAAGATTATTGATCCTGCATTGTAGGTAGACGAACAGTAGGCTGCTGCGCCCATATCATGTCGATAATATGGTACCAAGACCATTTAGTACCACCTGCCTGCCTGTGCAGGTTTCTTAGAACTGTTTCTTAGATGATATTTTAATTATTATAGAAGACGAATAAAATCATTAAGTAAAGAAAAATGTTTTAATATTATTTTTTAACATCCTATCCATCACCTTGTCATTCCTGTCGTCTTCAAAATACACATAAGGTACAAATCCAAGATGGACTTCAGGCCGCAAACTGCAAACCTCTATGAAGTCTGCAGAAATCGCCGCAGCTGCAAGCCGCAGTGGGGATTTCATACAGATTTTCTGTTTGCGGTTGCAGTCTGCGGTCTGCAGTCCATCTTGGACTTGTACCTTTAGGCCGCAAGCTGGACGACTGCAGGCACGCGCGCGCTTGCGTTGTGTGTACCTATGGGTTGCGGTTTGCGTGACTTGGGTGACTCATATACGCCAGAACTCGCGTCCGTAGTCGTCCAGTTTTTTGTGGCCTAAATATAACGTAAAAATACCTTTTTCACCTAAATAACAGCTGATTTCTAAACTAGAAATCAGCTGTTTGTTACATAACCTCACTTTAACTAAACCCCTAATAATTCTGCTCACAGATAGCCAAAACACGCATAATTTTTAGTGAACATCTGCAAAGTATTAAGCTATTAATTTACACAATTTTTATCTTGTTACATCTTGGCCCAGATTTGTATGTAATTGTTTCCATCTCCTTTAACTCAAGATAATTGCAACTCTCGAACAATATCAGAGTATAGAAAATGTAACGTGGGGCTATGTGCAGCGTGCAATGCCAAGCTCCATTCCAAATTTTTGAATATTCAAAGATAAAAATGAATACTGCTTACCCAATATACATCTTTTTTACATTTAATATCACTCCTGTTATTTGCTTGTATATTAATACATATTATAATAATAATAAAATATATAATTTACCCAACTTTTATAAAGTCTATGATAAAGTTATGTTTTAACCAACTGACACGGTAAGAGGCTAGCGGTACCATATAGTACCAGCATTTTTTTTCCAGATTACAAATCGAATATTTTTTTTAATGCTTGTATAGCATTATGTAGACCATAATTGTGAACACATTTCAAAAAAACAAAAATCTGACACTTTAAGAAAACTCAGTCTATAATGGGTTAAGTACATGGCAGGTAGATAATTGTGTGTAAGAAGTATGCTAATTAATTAGGTAGTGGAATTTAGGACGGAACAGAACAGAAAATTATATTACTATAGGTACCTACGTACTTTACTAATTGGCTAAATAATATAATGTATCTTATTACTAATATACTCGTCGGTAGTAACTACAGTGTAGGTACAGTCGCAGAATGAAAAGGTTCGTCACCTTAGTGTCGGTTTTCGCTTGCACTAGGTACTGTAAGAGACAAACCTGCCAACATAACAGTGCAAGAAACAGTGCTGCTAACATTTAAATAAATATGACGTTTGGTAACAAATAAGGTTTTGCTTGTTTATTTTTCTATCCCATCAGTGCAATGCAATGATGACATTGACCAATTGACAATAGTTTTTTTTATTTAATAGAAATAATAATGGCAGGTTGAACCAACAAGAAGGTTTTAGTTTATCAATCATAATAATCTTCTTGACAAGATAAATCGTCAAACAAGGGTATTTCGCCATAAATGGTCAATTTTGCCTAATTTCCTTGGTACGAAATATTTTTTGTTTTTAACTATTTTTAGTTTCCTATTGCATTAAGTAGCAAAAACTAAGCTAATATATCTAAAAGGGGTGTCATAATTCGTTTTAGAAACAAAGTTATAAGGTCATGAACTTTTGGTAGCCAAGGAAATTATTATAAATATTTTTTTCTCTAAGTTTTCTTCTGTGATTTGCTTTTTTTTGTTCGACCCATTTTTGTGTACCTTCGCAAGCCAACATAGCAATAAATATTATATCATTACGACCTTTTTACACAAATAAGGAAGATAAATGCAGTAGATTGAGTTTAGAGTTAAAAACAAGTTGTTCTATATATAATATGATACCCATTTCTTAAAATGTCAATTTTAAACTTATTCCAATAAAGAAATACCCAAAATTTTACTTTACGCCGAATTAAAAATGGTCTTTTATAATTTCCTAGGCCATTTTATGCCACGGAAAACAAGGAAATTAGGGCCACAGAAATTAGATTTATGCCTAAAAGACACCACAGACAAAAACCTATTTACCCTATGCATTTACTATTTAAATCATGGGTTTACCCCTACAGACACTACGTCTGTGTAAATAAACAATAAAATTAATCCATTGTTTAGTTGCAAAAAGCCGTCCAAAGAAATTGACTTTTTAGTAAACAAAAACCCAAGGAGGGACCTACTTATGCGATTTGTCGCGAAACTGGTCAACGCAGTACTGTCCTGCCTCGATGGCCTTTTGGGACGAAATGGCCAAGTGTAACGGTGCAGTGCATTACATTCTAAGTTCTTTCGTTTCGTTACTACAATGGTCGAAATGAAGACCCAGGGAAATTATACTTTTGACTCGGACAAGAACTTAACTTCACTTTATTTCCTTCCTTTAAGTATTTGACATTTAATCTTTTTATTTTCCGATAGCCAAACGTTTCTCAAATATAAACAGAGTGCTATTAGAATGAAATTACGCTTCAATTTGTTATAGTGTGCCTTCATTTTGGCAAACAACAGTAATGGACATAACAAGGAAATTAGAAAAACAACTTTTGATTAAGTTTTTCTACGCTATTATTTGTAGTATCTGCTATTGTAATAGCAAAAACAAATAAAACTTTTGATGAACTTTTCCATAAAAATAGTTTTATACGTATAGATATAAAAAAACATGTGTTCGCCTGCCTGGACACAGAAAATTTACTGTTTCGGCGAAATACCCACAACTTTGATCTAAATAATTTTGAACTTTACTGTCGAACAGTTAAAGATTATTTTCTCTAACTCGAGATTATTCTGTAACATAGTTTCAAAAGGTAATATGTGCTCGCGATTCGTTGAAGGAATCAATTTGAAAACTGACGAACCTTTTCATTCCGTGACTGTACATACTCTATAATTAATTATGTTATTTTCCTACATCACTGAAAATATTGAAGATTCAAGACTAAGACAAAGAATAATTTCAAGATTGCCCTAGATTACTTACAGGCATCTTACTGTTAAGCAAAGTGCCGCCTAAATTCAAGTGCAGTAGTAAAACAGTGACTCGGATGGATGATCAAATCCCAGACGACGGGTCCCTTCAGTCTTTCAAAAACTCCTAAAAGCACCTCTTTCCTTTAACGGGATTTTCAATCAAGTCGCCCTCTTCTCCTTCGCTTTATCCATCACAGTCGACAAAAAAATCTGCCTATATCAGCCCACACCGTTTTTTCCGACGTTTACACAATTCTCAGCTTTGAAATGCGGGGGCACGGTTCTTTTTACATCGGTGGTGAGCTCTGGCAGAAATGTTCACGAAGGTGAATATCGGGAGCGCAGGCCATAAAGGCAGTGATTCGAGGAGCGTTCCGTCAGTTTACAAGCTCGCCGTAATAAGATATCGGACGGTCTATCACCCTGGAAAATGTCTTTATTATGCTCCCGAAACACAGATAGTACCTACCTTGAGAAGCGTGGGGCAAATATTACACGTTGCGTCATTTATTTATTGGCGTAATTCAATAGTCCTAACTTCGGGGCTTTTTTAATTTAAAATAAATCATAGGTAGAATATTGTTACAATGTAATTTAGATGTTCAGTATGTATTGGCCTTCATCTGTTGTAACTTTGTTACCATACCTTTCTAACCTACACAGGAGGAAAAAAGTATTTCGAAGAAATGATGTTATATCGGTAAATACAGGCTGTTGGCTTTTCTGTGTGGCATAATCTATCGTACCCTACTTATTCACTGTTCTGTGAATTTGTACGGATAAGTTATTTAAGTCCAATTAGGTAAGTGAGGGACCCTTAAAGAAGTAACTTCTATTAGCTTAGGATTTGATCCCTTCGGAATGTTTCCCCAAAGCATTTATGGGTATTGAATGGAACTGATTTGAAACCCTTGCTGCATTATTGGTACCAAACGTCTTTCGTTCACATTCCCGTTTTCACTAGTTCTCCAACTTTCGCAGGGGAAGGGTAAAACGTTTTCGTGTGGTAATTTGTCGCTAAAATCCTTATTTATTGCAACAGAGAAGTTGGATCGGCTCGGGGGGTGAATTCGGAAACTTTGCTCCTTTAACTTCGGTTCACTGAATAGCGACACCTTGAGCACATATTGAGGTTGAATCCTCGTTTTCTTGTTACAGTTGAATTATGGGCGAATACTTTAATACAATTTCAGAGGAACTTTGTCCTCACACGTAGAGAGGTGGCCATAGATTTGCAGGTCGCACAATGAGGGCGGCAGGCTATTCAGAGGGGCAGGTCGATCGGGCTTTATGCAGCATTTAGAATAAAGTTGTGCAATCGGCTCCCGTGTAGAAGGGATTTCAGAATTATGCATGAAGCTGGAAGCAATAGGATCAATGCGCTTAGGATTAAGTGTGCCAATTTACATAACTTTAAACAGGATAAGGACGTTTTAATTACAATATGAATAGAAAATATGATATTGTTTAAACCCAGCTACCTACATAATAGCCTGAAACTATTATTTAAATAAAGTCGGTGTTTAATACAAGTAGAACAACAATTTACTTTCAGCTATATTGGATTGCGGTCCCTATAGTTCTATGTATAGTTGGGAATAGTGTGTTAACTTTGAAGTGTCAGCGGTGAACTGTAGTCAGGGCCGGATTAACCATCTCGGGGCCCCTAGGCACAGCTCGTTTCGGGCCCCCCTTTTTTTTGTCGCGGAGGAAATGCTTTGCGCACCGTCAC